TCACTCAGCTGTGTGTGTCAGTGTTTCTGCTATTAAAGACGGGTCAGTCAGCTGTGTGTGTCAGTGTTTCTGCTACTAAAGACGGGTCACTCAGCTGTGTGTCAGTGTTTCTGCTACTAAAGACGGGTCAGTCAGCTGTGTGTCAGTGTTTCTGCTACTAAAGACGGGTCACTCAGCTGTGTGTGTCAGTGTTTCTGCTACTAAAGACGGGTCAGTCAGCTGTGTGTGTCAGTGTTTCTGCTACTAAAGACGGGTCAGTCAGCTGTGTGTGTCAGTGTTTCTGCTACTAAAGACGGGTCACTCAGCTGTGTGTGTCACTGTTTCTGCTACTAAAGACGGGTCAGTCAGCTGTGTGTGTCAGTGTTTCTGCTACTAAAGACGGGTCAGTCAGCTGTGTGTCAGTGAGAGGGACAGTTAAGCCCTCAGATATGATAAGTGAGTTTCAGGCACGGCAGAATCCACAGAGACTGACACTGGAGAACAGACAGCAGAGTGTGTGTGTGTGCATTGGGGAGACAGTACGTCAGCAGTGCCACCTGCTCCAGTGGGATGAAGGCCAGGGGAACACACACACTCGCACACACACTGTTGGTTTTACTATCCAAGTGGGCACCAAACATTTTATTCCCATTCAAAATCCTATTTTCCCTAACCCTTAACCTAAACCTAACCCCTAAATAGCCTTTTGGGGGCCGACGAAATGTCCTCACTTTGATGACTTTTGGAACCCAAAAGGATAGTAAAGTTAGACCACACACACAATTCCAAGACCCCTCTCACATCCTCGTCCTCTGCCTTTATGGCTGAGTCATCAGGGACAGTGTAACAGATCACAGAGACAGACAGACAGACATAGACCTGACCCAACAATGCAGCAACTGTCACTGTGTCCTCACAAGGATAGTAAAACAAAGAAAATTAGGTGGTGACATTTCACCGGTCCCCACAAGGAAAAAGCCTATTTTAGGTTAGAGGTTAGGTTTAGGGTTACAATTAGGGTTAGAATTAGGATTAGGATTTAGGGTTAGGGTTAGGTTAAAGGTGCATTATGCAGAAATTGCTCCGCCATTTCCTGGTTGCTAAAACTCTAATTTCAGTTTATGTGACAAAATAAGCAAGTATAGTGTAGAAAATTATTGTAGTATCTAAACCGCTGTGAAGTATATATTCAATTTTCAGCTGTTTGAAGCTGGTGTTCAAAACCGAACGTAAAAGACGCAAAAACGAAATTTAAGAATGGGAAGCATAGAAATAGAGCACATAGAACAAATCTACTGCGTCTTAGACTTTTTTTTTTAGGGGGTCTTAGACTTGCTTTCAATGATAATGACAGATCTATAACATACATTTCTATGTGAATTTGGTCAGGTCGCCCAAAAAGTTACATATTGCAGCTTTAAGGGTTAGGGAAAATAGGATTTGGAATGGGAATCAATTGTTTGGTCGCCACAAGGATAGTAAAACAAACGTGTGTGTGTGTGTGTATGTGTTTGTACATGTCGCTTTCATTATCTCTATCATCAGTGGAAGAGAACAGACTTCTGGGAGAACATTAATCACTCCTACCATAAGCACAAAGTCACAGAGAGCACATTGTAACACTGGGTGCGGGTATGTCATGTGTGTGTATGTTTGCGTGTGTCTGTGTGTATGTCTGTATGTCTATACACTTGAGGGCAAAGGGCACGTCTTTAGGCATATGTTTACGTGTGACTGACTGGGTTTGAATTTGGATTGTCTGTTTACTACATTACTGTAAGCTCTCTGAGCTAAAGCCTATGCATGCTATACCTATGAGCGTGGGGAGCTAACACAAGTCTTCAGGTCTCAATCAAGGTTATTCTTGAATCGCCTTTGTTCAGGCCCATGTATTGCTTGGTTGTTTAGGCAGGGAATGACATGGTAGGGGACCCCAATCAGAGAGTTGGTGTGGGTGTTTGTCTAAGTGCCTCTGTCCACCAGTAGTAGATCATATCCGTGTGACAGTGAACGGGTGCTACAGCGCGGAGCTGAGCGCACTAGTGAGTCATTCTGGCATGCTGGGTAATTAATAATCTGTCACCATTATGTTCTCCCACTCCCCCTCTAATTTCCCTTCTTTTTCAGTGCAATTAAAAGTGACACTCCTGTAGCTACATGTGTTAGAATTAAAGACTGGCGACATGCAGACAGTTTAGATGAACACAGTGAAACTGTACTCCGCTACACTCATCCTGTCTGAGAGATGGAGGGAGATGGAGAGAGCGAGAAGGTGAGTCTTACGGAGCTGACCTCTCCATCTCTCCTCCCAGACCTCAGACTGGACGCCCATCTGTCACACACACACAGTGGAACATAATTAGCATAATAATTTACCTGGAGACGCCCAGAGCTCAGGTGTGTAATTAGTGGAACAGAATGAACAGTCACAAATAAAATAACTGTCTGTGTGTTTATGTTTATATACATGCAAAGTGAGACAGGTGCAATAACCTTACATCTATCTCAGGTAAGTCGAAGTTCCAACCATCTCAATTGATGCTCTGCTCTCAGGGACATGCCTGCCCTCTCTTGGCTACTACCTTCAACTACAGCAACATAATGTAGAATATTACATCAGTAGCTTTTAGCAGACTGGACAAGGATGTATAAATGGTATATAAATATGTCTATGGTGCTGAAGACCAAAGAATATGTTCAGCAGAAAGTAAAATACTCAGCGAACTGCCACACAAACACAGAGAGACGGGTGTCTGGTATGCAGAGGTGTTTTAATCACATTAGAACCAAAGAGAAACAAAGTCGTTGGGTTAACCACAGTCTTTATATATTTATATATAATAACCTTTATCCCAGAAAAACATCTACAGCCATTTACAGCTTTACTCTGATAGTAAAACAGAAAGACAATCCCCAGAGAGGAGAGGAGTAATAGAGAGAGAGAGGAGTGATAGAGAGAGGAGAGGAGTGATAGAGAGAGAGAGAGAGAGACGAGAGGAGTGATAGAGACAGAGAGGAGAAGAGTGATAATTGAGAGGGAGACAACAGAGAGAGCGAGCAGTGAGAGAGTGCATCTCCAACAGTCCTTATCTAAATTAGAAAAACCTACAGGCCGTTTTTATTGGATTATTACATCAGCATTACTCAATACAAAAATAGGATATAGTTGTTATAGAAGAGCCAGGCGTTAAGCTGAGAGATCGGAGCTGGGTCGTATTCAGCAGCACAACGGTTTGAAAACAGAAGGAACATTTGCTTCAAGTTGTAAATCCCCATTTCATTCAGTTTCCAAACGTTTTCTCCCTCCTGAATACAACCCTGGGTCCTCAGGTCCTTCATTCAGTGACATTGAATGTGACCCCTCCCACTCACTCCCAAATAAGGAATCATGCCTATATAGACCCCAACCCCCTCATCCAAGAATGACTTGCAGCTCCTCTAGAGTTCTACAGTGGCCGGCCTATACCTAGGCTGAAAATATACAGGTTAGGACAATGCAATAATTCCATGCGGCAAATTAAACAAATTAATTGGAGCTAGCCATTGCTGATTCTACAGGATTAGCATTGAAAACGTGACCAGTGGTCGGAAAAATCAAGTAATAAAGGGTCTGTAGATAATTTGATTATTTTATTTTTTTTAATGAAAAGAATGACAGTAAAACAGTTATGGTATGTGTTTGCTGACTAGTTAGCTGAAATTCACTACAATTGTGTTTATTTGCCACTTTGATGCCGAACTTTCTGTACTGCTAACATTCACTTCCAGTCATTTTCGCTAGCATTGCTAGTCCCATTGTTTAGAATTCTTCTGCATTTATGCAAAGACTTATGGGATATTAGAATCCTCTTATCCTAACCTTTATATTTTTGACCTAGGCCCATACCAGGAAGTCAGTTAGACCAGGAAGAGAAGTCAGGACTTAAATAAAGAATTAACGCAATAATTAGAAAAATAATATAAAAAAATACAACAGAGGAGCTGGTTAGTGGATGAGTATGTAGAGAGGGAGTAAGGGTAGAGGGAGGGAATGAGGGAGAGAGAGAGAGAGAGAGAGAGGTATAGGAAGTGAGAGGGTAGAGCGTAGTGAAGATAGAGAGAGAGAGGAGAGGGTAGGGGAGAGAGAGGGTAGGGGAGGAGAGAGAGAGAGAGATATAGAGAGAGAGAGAGGAGGTTAGAGGGGAGAGAGAGAGGGTTAGAGGGGAGAAGGAGGAGAGAGTTATAGGGAGGGGAGAGAGAGAGGGTAGCAGAGAGAGGAGAGAGAGAGAGAGATAGAGGAGGGAGAGGAGGGAGGAGAGAGACGGAGAGGGTAGGAGGAGAGGGGTGAGGGAGAGAGAGGGTAGGGAGAGAGAGAGGGTAGAGGAGGGGAGAGGAGAGGGGTAGAGAGAGGGAGGAGGTAGAGAGGAGGGAGAGAGAGAGAGGGTAGAGGGAGAGAGAGAGGGGGTAGAGGGAGAGAGAGAGAGGGTAGTTAGAGGAGAGAGAGAGAGGGTAGCGGCGGGAGAGAGAGAGAGAGGGTTAGAGGAGGGAGAGAGAGGAGAGAGGGTAGAGGAGGGGAGAGAGAGAGAGGGGTAGAGGAGGGAGAGAGGAGAGAGGGTTAGAGGAGAGAGAGAGAGAGAGAGGGTAGAGGAGGGAGAGAGAGAGAGGGTAGAGGAGGGAGGAGAAGAGAGAGGGTAGAGGAGGGAGAGAGAGAGAGGGTAGAGGGAGAGAGAGAGAGAGAGAGACGAGGAGAGGGCTAGAGGAGGGAGGGAGAGAGGGTAGAGGAGGGAGGGAGGGGAGGGTGGAGGGAGGGAGGGAGGGTATAGAGGAGGGAGGGAGGGTAGAGGAGGAGGGAGGGAGGGTTAGAGGAGGGGGGGAGGGAGGGTTAGAGGAGGGAGGGAGGGGAGGGTTTAGAGGAGGGAGGGAGGGAGGGTAGAGGAGGGAGAGAGAGAGAGGGTAGAGGAGGGAGGGACGGAGAGAGGGAAGGAGCGAAGGTGGAGTGCTAGAAGTGCAATGTAAGTAAGTAAGGGAGAGGAGAGAAGGATGGAAGGAGGGAGAGAGTGATGGAGAGATTGAGGAGTTATTGCTGGGGGTAGTAGCATGGTTTCTGCTGTCGGTTTGAGTAGGGATAGCAGAGGGGAGGTATGGAGGAGAGAGGAGTGATAGATAAAGTAGTTATTGTTGTGGGTAGTATGGCTGTGGTGGTGGTTGCTGGGGCTGCTGTTGGTAGATGTAGGGGTGCTGCTGTGTGGGGGCGGCCCCGGGGTAGCTCCCCTGTCCGGGTGCTGGGGCCTGCTGATAGGGGACGTAGGGCTGCATGTTGGGCTGCATAGTGGGGGGCATGTTGTACTGGCCGTACGCTGCATACGGGTTATAACCCATAGGCATCTGGTAGGCATACCTGGAGACACAGAAAGAGAGGTTAGTGTGTATGTGAAAGAGAAGACAGGGAGAGTTAGAAGAGAGAGAGAGAGAGAGAGAGTTAACAGAAGTGAGACTGCAATGGAATTGAGACTGGAACAACGGACGGGTTACAGCTCTGCAACTCACACAGCCTGCCAACTGGGACAATAACGATATTGATTGATTTGATTGACTCACCCAGGGTATCCCTGGTATGTGGGGTAAGGCGGTCCCTGGGCCATTGAGGGAGGGGCCATGGGTGGGGGGTTTACTGGTTGAGGCTGGTTACTGGGAGGGTTGCCTGGTGCGGAGGCGGCCTGGGTAGTGAACGCAGGGGGAGGGGGCCGCTCGGGTGGCTGGGCCTTCGCCTGGGGCTGCTGGGGCTGCTGGGAACGGGAGAGGAAGATCTGAGGTCAATAAAAATCATAATCAAAATAGATAAATAGTAAACCTTATGACAACTGCTGATAAACATTTAATTGATTGCTTGAAAAGGGATATTTTTACAACGTCACAATAAGAGACACTATTACAGTCATGTCTCTGTGGTGATTGAGGGAGTTGGATCAGGCTGAACCGGGGTGCACCGGGCTATGGCCCGTCACGACTGGGTAAAACTGCTCAAATCAAACAGTCATATCGTAAGTCATTACTCCACGTGCTTCACATACGTCACTCTGTTGAGCCAACTTCACCATCGGCTTTGGATGGGGCACCCGACACACCCGGGAGGCAGCCCGGTTACAATGTAATCACTTTCACCCGATGCAAACTCCGCCTACCCAGTGAACCGGGAAAGTTTAATTGAATTCTCTTTGGCACAGAGCTGCCCTCTGATTGGCTCCTCCCTCCAACCTACCGAGCTGTGATTGGCTACTTACGAAGACGGTCCTAGGTGCGGGGGTTGGTCCGGCGGCGGTGGGGGTGGGGTTAGTCTGGTAGGCGGGGACAGAGAAGGACGGGGCGCTGGGCTCCCTGGCGATGCTCTGCTGCAACTCCCTGGGTGGATAACCACAACAGCAGCAATGTCAGTCAGCGGTCACCACGGCGACCCCAACATCAGTTGCTAGTCATGGTCATTTCTAGTTCACATGAATCACCAATCACATAAAAACATGATGTAATCAATGATATTTCATTAATAAGACAATGCAGTGATTATTACAAATATTCATAACAATTGACGCATCGTTATAGAGACAACATCACCACCACATACTTCAGTAGTTCATCCCGTTCTGTCTTGCGGGCAAAGACGATGTCACTGCACTTGTTCTGGAACTTCAGCAGGATCTCTGTGAGGTCATTGTAAAACTACAGAGAGCGAGAAGGTGATTGGTCAGACAGAGACAACCAAAGTCAACCAATCATCAAGCCCTTGTCAAGTTCAATCGGTTGTGTTTTTCCGGTGTTAGAACAAAAATGTGTATTGTTGGGTGACACTGTCTTAGAAACAGCCCTCCTTTTCCCTGGACAACCCACCCATTCCCTAGAGACAACCCTCCCTGCCATTCCCTAGGCGACAGTTACCTTGGTGCCCTCTCTGAGGTTGTTGGTGATCTCGACGTAGCTGTCGTGGGCCGAGGCCAGCTTCTTCAACACCTCCTCACGATCATTAGCCTCCGAGTTGGACTGCTTCAGACTGGAGAACTCCTGGTGAGATGCCTGGGGGTGAAGACAATCAACAATTGGAGAAGGAGAGAATCAATAACGTAACATTTCTCGCCATCTGAAAAATGTTTTTGTGGAAAGTGTGTATAGGTGTGTTTAGGCGAGCGTATCTCTCTGTGTGTGTAGCCTACCTGCACATTGCCCAACAGCTCTTCCTGAGAGCGGAGGCTGGCCTGAACCCTCTGGCTGTAGCTGCCGTATGATTGGTCCAGCTGGCTCATTGATAGTGCCTCCTCATTGATGGCCCCGTCCTGAGCCAGAGCCGTCAGGAAGCTGGAGGACATATCAAAGGTCACGCCCTTAATCTCCGCCTCCAGCACCTCCCTCTCTCTCTTCACCTCCTCTAGCTGGGACAGCTGGGAACGCAACACACTCACAACCTAGAGGGAGAGAGGAGAATACATACTGTTAGAACACACACACGAAAAGGATGTACACTGTTAGAGCACACACACTCCATCCCTCACCTCGCTGCCCTGCAGTGTCTTAGCAGGGTTGGCTGAAGGTATGGCAGCGGTGAGTTCAGCCTCAGGTTTACAGAGCAGAGCGATCATCTCACAGTGTGTGTTATAACGCTCCTTGACCACCTGGTCAGCCTGCACTGCCTTGTCCAAAACACTACGGAAGTTACCACCCTCTGGCCCGCCGGAGGTGGAGGGGAGGTAGAGAAGAATAAATAAATATCATTTCATTCCAAGGTAGTACACAACACACCTATCAGTATGTTTGTTTTTGGATGTGTGTGTAGGCATGAGTAGGTGTGTGTGTGTGTACCTGCTCTAAGTGGTTTGTAGAGGTCTCCAGAGGGAGTTCTGTTCCAGCGTTGGCTGAACTTGGATCTCAGCTCGCTGTCTGTCGACTCCTCATCATCCAGCATCTTCAGAGACTACAAACAAACACACACATTATACAATACATATCATGGGTATATGAACATGTGTGTGTGTGTGTGTGTGTGTATATACCTCATCCAGGATCTCTCTGTTGCGTGTCAGTAGTTCCGGCAGGTCTCGGATCAGTTGTTCTATGCTCTGCAGCCCCCCCTGCTGGACGATGGCGTGGGCCTTTTCAACAATGGATTGTGGGATAGAATCTCCAGACAGGTCCTCCAGAGCCGCAGGCAGGTTCAGAGACGCCAGGACACTGTTGTTCAATTATGAATTCATTATCAATATAGACATGCCAACACACTGTTTAATTATTAACACATTTCACCACCAATAAAGACTACGTACACTGAGTATACAAAACATTAAGAACACCTGCTCTTTCCATGACAGACTGACCAGGTGGATCCAGGTGAAAGCTAGGACCCCATATTGAGGTCACTTGTTAAATCCACTTCAAATCAGTGTAGATGAAGGGGAGGAGACAGGTTAAAGAAGGATTTTTAAGCCTTGAGACAGACATGGATTGTGTATGTGTGCCATTCAGAGGGTGACTGGGCAAGACAAAATATTTAAGTGCCTTTGAACAGGGTATGGTACTAGGTGCCAGGCGCACCAGTTTGTGTCAAGAACTGCAACACTGCTGGGTATTTCACGCTCAATAGTTTCCTGTGTGTATCAAGAATGGTCCACCACCCAGAAGACATCCAGACAACTTGACACAACTATGGGAAGCATTGGAGTCAACATGAGCCAGCATCCCTGTGGAACGCTTTCGACACCTTGTAGAATCCATGCCCTGACGAATCGAGGCTGTTCTGAGGGCAAAAGGGGGTGCAACTCAATATTAGGAAGGTGATCCTAATGTTTTGTACACTCAGTGTATGATGATGTAACAGTGCGCTGTCGTCTTTATTGATATATGTATTCAAATCAATAGAGTTGCCAAACACTATTCAATTGTTAAATGATAAAAGTAACATCCATACCCGTTGCAGAGGTTGGTAGCTTCCCTCATGGTTCCCACCAGTCTGTTGACAGTCTCAGCCTTCCTCTGGCTGTACACACTCATACTCTGCTGCACCGCCATGGGCACCATCTTCTCAAACAAGTCTATACAGAGAGACACACACACACACACGTCAGAAACTAACCCACACATTTGCAAATTCTATTAGACATCTACACAAAAAGCAAAAGCGTGTGTGACAGAATGTGTGTGTCCCACAACAGTGAACTTGGTGCTGAGTGGTTGTGTGTGTACTCGTTCTCTCACCAGTTAACTTGGTGCTGAGTGGTTGTGTGTGTACTCGTTCTCTCACCAGTGAACTTGGTGCTGAGTGGTGCTGAGTGGTTGTGTGTGTACTCGTTCTCTCACCAGTTAACTTGGTGCTGAGTGGTTGTGTGTGTACTCGTTCTCTCACCAGTGAACTTGGTGCTGAGTGGTTGTGTGTGTACTCGTTCTCTCACCAGTGAACTTGGTGCTGAGTGGTTGTGTGTGTACTCGTTCTCTCACCAGTGAACTTGGTGCTGAGTGGTTGTGTGTGTACTCGTTCTCTCACCAGTGAACTTGGTGCTGAGTGGTTGTGTGTGTACTCGTTCTCTCACCAGTGAACTTGGTGCTGAGTTGTTGTGTGTGTACTCGTTCTCTCACCAGTGAACTTGGTGCTGAGTTGTTGTGTGTGTACTCGTTCTCTCACCAGTGAACTTGGTGCTGAGTGGTTGTGTGTGTACTCGTTCTCTCACCAGTGAACTTGGTGCTGAGTGGTTGTGTGTGTACTCGTTCTCTCACCAGTGAACTTGGTGCTGAGTGGTTGTGTGTGTACTCGTTCTCTCACCAGTGAACTTGGCGCTGAGCGGAGGTGTGATTGCGGTAGCCTTGACCAGCGCTGCCTTGCCGATGTGTTCCAGGTCCTTGACCTCAGGGACGCGGTCGTGGTAGATGAAGTCGTTGTCCTTCTTAGCGGCGGTCAGAGCACGGCTGATCTTATCACTAAGGTCTTTCACACTGACGTACTCATCATAGCGAGATGCTACTGTCTTCACCAGCTCTGTAGCATGCTGCAGGGATGGAGGGAAGGAGACAAGAGGAGTGAATGATAGTTGGATCCGTCGCACTGTCAATCATAAAGGGAGGCTAGACTCCACTAACTAGTGTGATGAGGGATGGAGAGAACAAGAGAATAGAAAACAAAGTATGAAGACTTTGGTTGAGTGGTTGTGTTTATTTGGTCATAGGAAAATCACTACATTTTCAGGTTGGGTACACTGTAGGAACCACCGGGTTAGGGTTGCGCTGTGTGTGTGTGTGTGTGTGTGTGTGTACCTGCAGGCGAGCGATCTCCTCCCCAAAGTGTTTCTTCTGCTTGGCGAGGATAGACTGGTGCAGCTCAGCGTTGGCCTGCATGATGCAGTGTTTAGCTGCCAGCACCGGAAACACCTCCTGGAAATAAATATACTGACCAGGGAGAAGCAACCACAGAGCAGTGCGCACACATGCGCACACACACGGGGCAAACCATCCACACACGGGGCAAACCAAGGGCAAACCAAAGAACAACACAAACACCGCCAAGAGCAAATCACGAACGAGTTTCACGTCACGGAAGCCAATCAGGAACACACGCACACACACCACCATGCAGAGAGCGGAGGATAACGGGAGAGAGAACAAAACAGGACAGGCAGTGAGTGATTAACCTTTCTGCAACATTCACCCAAACTATAATACAGAGAAGTGTGTGCGTCTGCAAAGTCCAGCCCATGTGTTCCCACCCCAGACCGTGTGTGTGTGTGTGTGTGTGAGCGTCTTTTAGTAGTAAGACAGGTCAGTCAGATTTCAAACACACATTCAGAAGCCCATTATTAGGTAGTGAGAGACCAATAAGAACGGGAGTCAGACGGTGAAAGCGCCAATGAGAATACAGCCCAAGTAGTGAACAAGAACAACCAATGAGAAAACAGCCCAGGTAGTGATTAACAAATCAGAATGGAGACTGTATGGTAATCAACCAATCAGAACAGAGATAGTGAAAGTTCCACACCCTGAGTGTTATCCTTATTTGTCTAGTAAGAAGTTCACACACACACACACACTTCTACATACCTTGGGCAGGTTCTCTTTGTACTGACACTGCTTGATGGCGTCGCTGTAGAAATCTGCTGCCTGATTGGCCAGTTTAGCGATGATGGCGTCCTTCATCTTATCTGTAGGGAAAATGATACAATGGTTACTCGAATCATGCACACACACACGTGTAAAGTGTGTGTATAGCATGTGTGTGACGTATGTGTGTGTGTGACGTATGTGTGTACCTGACGTAGCCTTGAGAAAGAAGACTTCCTGTGCCTGAGCCAGCATGATGAGACTGAGGGTTCCTACGGTCTCAGGAGATATGTCCATAGTAGGCTCTCTGTTCAGAGCCGACAGCACTGTGTCCTTAATGTGACCAAATGCTCCACTCGCCAACTGGAGGGGGGGTGGTAGAAAGAGGGAGAGACAGTATGACAGAGAGAGATGGATAGAGACACAGACAGAGGGGCGAGGGTATTGGTTATATTATTACTAAGTAGTATTTAAGTATTACTATAATAAAAGGTAGTAATTGGCTGTAATATCATTAGCAGTACTGTAGTAATACCTGGTGGTAATAGAAGTACTATAGATTTTGGTAGTATTTGGCTGTAGTATTAGTAGTACTGTAGTAATTAGATGTGGTATAAATAGTAGTGTTACTATAGAACCTGGTAGTATTACTATAGTAGTACCTGGTAGTATTTGGCTGCGGCCTTCAGTCCTTCATCGCTGTCCAGGTTCTGTTCTGAAGCGATCTGACTGGCCAACGCTGCTCCATTGAACAACACACACGTCTTCTCATAGCCCAGACTGGCCAGGGCTAAAACACACAGACACACACATTATACAAATACACAGCCATTCCTGTTCATCATGCTTCAGGCATGAGGCTGACATACCTCACAATAGTGTTAGCGAGATACAGCGAGAGGTGCGAGACAAAGCTGGGCTGGCGTGTGCTACACACTGTATATATATATTTTCTGTTGTATTTTTGACTTTATGTTTTGTTTACCCCATATGTAACTCTGTGTTGTTGTTTTTTTATCGCACTGCTTTGCTTTATCTTGGCCAGGTCGCAGTTGTAAATGAGAACTTGTTCTCAACTGGCTTACCTGGTTAAATAAAGGTGAAAAAAAAGAAAAAAAGACAGGCAATCATTTAGGTATGTTGCAGGGTTTCCATTAGGAAAATTTGGCGCCGGACATAGTGACCTGAAATATTTAATTTCTCTGACATTCGAGAAATGTACCGGTCGTCCGTATGCATTGGGTGCGTAACCCATTAGGGTGTCCACCCACGCAGTCAGCGCCATCAATAAACTAGGGATATTGGCCAAATGAGCCACATTTACGTGTCCTTAAAACCAGCCTTTTAACAAATTACAAAAACACTATTCCTTGCGTTTTGATGTTTAGCATATGCAAAGCTTTATAGTCTATTGTTTTTTTGGTTTTTACTTTCCTAAAATATAAAATTGTCCACCTTACAGTTCAGCTGTCGGAGATTTGAGCAACAAATGCATAACGACATTGCATGCATATACAGTGGGGAGAACAAGTATTTGATACACTGCCGATTTTGCAGGTTTTCCTACTTACAAAGCATGTAGAGGTCTGTAATTTTTATCATAGGTACACTTCAACTGTGAGAGACGGAATCTAAAACAAAAATCCAGAAAATCACATTGTATGATTTTTAAGTTATTAATTTGCATTTTATTGCATGACATAAGTATTTGATCACCTACCAACCAGTAAGAATTCCGGCTCTCACAGACCTGTTAGTTTTTCTTTAAGAAGCCCTCCTGTTCTCCACTCATTACCTGTATTAACTGCACCTGTTTGAACTCATTACCTGTATAAAAGACACCTGTCCACACACTCAATCATTTACATTTTACATTTTAGTCATTTAGCAGACGCTCTTATCCAGAGCGACTTACAGGAGCAATTAGGGTTAAGTGCCTTGCTCAAGGGCACATTTACGTCATTTAGCAGACGCTCTTATCCAGAGCGACTACAAATTGGTGCATTCACCCTATAGCCAGTGGGATAACCACTTTACAATTATACTTTTTTTTTTTTTTTTGGGGGGGGGAGGGGTAGAAGGATTACTTTATCCTATCCCAGGTGTTCCTTAAAGAGGTGGGGTTTCAAATGTCTCCGGAAGGTGGTGAGTGACTCCGCTGTCCTGGCGTCGTGAGGGAGCTTGTTCCACCATTGGGGTGCCAGAGCAGCGAACAGTTTTGACTGGGCTGAGCGGGAACTATGCTTCCGCAGAGGAAGGGGAGCCAGCAGGCCAGAGGTGGATGAACGCAATGCCCTCGTTTGGGTGTAGGGACTGATCAGAGCCTGAAGGTACGGAGGTGCCGTTCCCCTCACTGCTCCATAGGCAAGCACCATGGTCTTGTAACGGATGCGAGCAAATCAAACAGACTCCAACCTCTCCACAATGGCCAAGACCAGAGAGCTGTGTAAGGACATCAGGGATAAAATTGTAGACCTGCCCAAGGCTGGGATGGGCTACAGGACAATAGGCAAGCAGCTTGGTGAGAAGGCAACAACTGTTGGCGCAATTATTAGAAAATGGAAGAAGTTCAAGATGATGGTCAATCACCCTCGGTCTGGGGCTCCATGCAATATCTCACCTCGTGGGGCATCAATGATCATGAGGAAGGTGAGGGATCAGCCCAGAACTACACGGCAGGACCTGGTCAATGACCTGAAGAGAGCTGGGACCACAGTCTCAAAGAAAACCATTAGTAACACACTACGCCGTCATGGATTAAAATCCTGCAGCGCACGCAAGGTCCCCCTGCTCAAGCCAGCGCATGTCCAGGCCCGTCTGAAGTTTGCCAATGACCATCTGGATGATCCAGAGGAGGAATGGGAGTCATGTGGTCTGATGAGAAAAAAATTGAGCTTTTTGGTCTAAATTCCACTCGCCGTGTTTGGAGGAAGAAGAAGGATGAGTACAACCCCAAGAACACCATCCCAACCCTGAAGCATGGAGGTGGAAACATCATTCTTTGGGGATGCTTTTCTGCAAAGGGGACAGGACGACTGCACTGTATTGAGGGGAGGATGGATGGGGCCATGTATCGCAAGATCTTGGCCAACAACCTCCTTCCCTCAGTAAGAGCATTGAAGATGGGTCGTGGCTGGGTCTTCCAGCATGACAACGACCCGAAACACACAGCCAGGGCAACTAAGGAGTGGCTCCGTAAGAAGCATCTCAAGGTCCTGGAGTGGCCTAGCCAGTCTCCAGACCTGAACCCAATATAAAATCTTTGGAGGGAGCTGAAAGTCCGTATTGCCCAGCGACAGCCCCGAAACCTGAAGGATCTGGAGAAGGTCTGTATGGAGGAGTGGGCCAAAATCCCTGCTGCAGTGTGTGCAAACCTGGTCAAGACCTACAGGAAACGTGTGATCTCTGTAATTGCAAACAAAGGTTTCTGTACCAAATATTAAGTTCTGCTTTTCTGATGTATCAAATACTTATGTCATGCAATCATACAATGTGATTTTCTGGATTTTTGTTTTAGATTCCGTCTCTCACAGTTTAAGTGTACCTATGATAAAAATGACAGACCTCTACATGCTTTGTAAGTAGGAAAACCTGCAAAATCGGCAGTGTATGAAATACTTGTTCTCCCCACTGTATATGCCTATTGGCTTAGGTGTCCACTGTATGATATTAATATTTAAAAGATAAATATAAAAAGAAAAGCTTAGGCCTAGCCCCAGAGACAGATGGAGATATGCCAGTGGCATAATACGACAGGACATTTCTTTATCCTTGTCAGAAAGGCTTCTGCGTCTGCTATACAGATATATACAGCTAATTCATACATTTTCTATCAGAATATTTTTTTATAAAGATCAGCATTATATTGTTAGATTATAGGAGTAACTCTGGTAGGCCTAAAACAGTGCAAGTCAGTTGGATTGCCGGTACACACTGCCTTCATCTCATAGGCCGGCAGTATAATAGGCTAATAGCCACACCAAAAGTAAGTCTAGCCGTTGTTTATAGGGAAAATACAAGCAGGATATTATTATTGCGGCAAACACAACATTACAGTTGGAACTTAATTTGGCCAAAGAAAATGGCTCAACAGAATGAAACAAAACACTTGCAAACGTTTTTCAATCTTAAAAGCTTTGAACAGGCTATGACAGCAATATGCTAATTATATTTATTTTACAACAGGCATACTTATAACCTAACTAAATACGGAGCACACAATTAAAAAGACAAATCGAACTGAAATTAGCCAATGAAAATGTCTCAACAGAATGATACAAAACATATTTTGCATATTTAAAGAACTGGTTTAGATGAATAAATAGGCCTAAAATAATAACAATGATATACAATAATAATGACAAAACAAATGATTATAAATACGAAAAACACATCATACAATATTACTGGCTCCTACACCTACTGGAACAACCATGCCTGAAGGCCTCGTTTGTGTGTGTGTGTGTGTGTGTGTGTGTGTGTGTGTGTGTGTGTGTGTGTGTGTACCTAGTTTGACTGAGCCCCCGAACAGTGAGCCCTTATCAAAGGCATCTTTCCATGTGAAGGTTAGACACAGCTGCAGGAACACATAAAGAGAGATTAGCAACATTATCAAACAAACCTTACTTTTTTTATTAGCGGTTTCATGTGTGACGTAATTCTCTGTACCACGCAGACACATACAGGTACTTTATTCTATTGTTGTCTTCCATTGTACTGTTGTGCATTCCCCTCAGCAACAGTGTGTATTTTGTATTGACCGGATGAGGTTATATGTACCTGGTTTTCAGAGAAGGGAAACTTGGGCTCCACGGCACACAGCTGATCATAGTACCTACAGGAGAAGAGGGAGAACACACTTTTAGTGTTTGGACCAAACAGAAAATAGAGGTGTGTACACTGTGTTATTGACCAACTAGGTTTGGGCGGAATCCAGATTCTCATATCAACCTTGTGCTATTCCAGGATATTCGGTAATACTGGCACTGAACATAAGGGGCACAATTTCCAAAACCCACTGATACTCTGTAATCCGTTACCAATGCTAACAAGTACATGTAAACTTCCACAGAGAATGCTAACTAACTGCTAATGAGCGCATCGCAAACATTTTATTCGGTCTCTGACCTAAAGTATTTGCAGTAACTCAAAAAAGCTATCCACAGTTTGCTGCATGCCAAAACAAACAGTGCATTCGGAAAGCATTCAGACCCCTTCACTCTTTCCACATTTTATTACGTTAGAGCCTTATTCTAAAATTGATAAAATTGTTTTTTCCCCCCATCAATCTACACACAATATCCCATAATGACAAAGCAAAAACAGGTTTTTAGAAATGTTTGTAAATGTAATAAAAAACGGAAATATTACATTTACATAAGTAATCAGACCCTTTACTCAGTACTTTGTCAAAGCGCCTTTGGCAGCGATTACAGCCTCGAGTCTTCTTGGGTATGAAGCTACAAGCTTGGCACACGTCTATTTGGGGAGTTTCTCCCATTCTTCTCTGCAGATCTTCTCAAGCTCTGTCAGGTTGGATGGGGAACGTTGCAGTACAGCTATTTTCAGGTCTCTCCAGAGATGTTAGATCGGGTTCAAGTCCGGGCACTGGCTGGGCCATTCAAGGGCATTCAGAGACTCGCCACTCCTGCGTTGTCTTTTCTGTGTGCTTAGGGTTGTTGTCCTGTTGGAAGGTGAACCTTCACCTAAGTCTGTGGTCCTGAGCAGGTATTCATCAAGGATCTCTGTACTTTGCTCCGTTCATCTTTCCCTCGATCCTGACTAGTCTCCCAGTCCCTGCTGCTGAAAAACATTCCCACAGCATGATGCTGCCACCACCATGCTTCACCGTAGGGATGGTGCCAGGTTTCCTCCAGATGTGACACTTGGCATTCAGGCCAAAGAGTTCAATCTTGGTTTCATCAGACCAGAGAATCTTGTTTCTCATGGTCTGAGAGTCTTTAGGTGCCTTTTGGCAACCTCCAACTGGGCTGTTATGTGCCTTTTACTGAGGAGTGGCTTCCGTCTGGCCACTCTACCATAAAGGCCTGATTGGTGGAGTGCTGCAGAGATGGTTGTCCTTCTGGAAGGTTCTCCCATCTCCACAGAGGAACTCTGGAGCTCTGTCAGAGTGACCATCGGGTTCTTGGTCACCTCCCTGACCAAGGACCTTCTTCCCTGATTGCTCAGATTGGCCGGGCGGCCAGCTCTAGGAAGAGTCTTGGTGGTTCTAAACTTCTTCCATTTAAGAATGATGGAGGCCACTGTGTTCTTGTGGACCTTCAATGCTGCAGAAATGTTTTGGTACCCTTCCCCAGATCTGTGCTTTGACACAATCTTGCCTCGGAGCTCTACGGACAATTCCTTTGACCTCATTGCTTGGTTTTATGCTCTGACATGCAATGTCAACTGTGGGACCTTATATACACTACCAGTCAAAAGTTTGGGCACACCTACTCATTAAAGGGTTTTTCTTTATTTTTACTATTTTTTACATTGTAGAATAATAGTGAAGACATCAAAACTATGAAATAACACATATGGGATCATGTAGTAACCAAAAAAGTGTTAAACAAATCAAAATATATTTTATATTTGAGATTCTTCAAATAGCCACCCTTTGTCTTGATTTTACATTTACATTTGAGTCATTTAGCAGCTTGATGACAGCTTTGCACACTCTTGGCATTTTCTCAACCAGCTTCATGAGGTAGTCACCTGGAATGCATTTCAATTAACAGGTGTGCCTTCTTAAAAGTTAATTTGTGGAATTTCTTTCCTTCTTAATGCGTTTAAGCCAATCAGTTGTGTTGTGACAAGGTAGGGGGGTATACAGAAGATAGCCCTATTTTGGTAAAAGACCAAGTCCATATTATGGCAAGAACAGCTCAAATAAGCAGAGAGAAACGACAGTCCATCATTACTTTAAGACATGAAGGTCAGTTAATATGGAACATTTCAAGAACTTTGAAAGTTTCTTCAAGTGCAGTCACAAAAACCATCAAGCGCTATTATGAAACTGGCTCTCATGAGGACCGCCACAGGAATGGAAGACCCAGACTTACCTCTGCTGCAGAGGATAAGTTCATTAGTTACCAGCCTCAGAAATTGCAGCCAAAATACACTGCTCAAAAAAAAAAAGGGAACACTAAAATAACACATCCTAGATCTGAATGAATGAAATAATCTTATTAAATACTTTTTTCTTTACATAGTTGAATGTGCTGACAACAAAAATCACACAAAAATGATCAATGGAAATCAAATTTATCAACCCATGGAGGTCTGGATTTGGAGTCACCCTCAAAATTAAAGTGGAAAACCACACTACATGCTGATCCAACTTTGATGTAATGTCCTTAAAACAAGTCAAAATGAGGCTCAGTGTGTGTGGCCTCCACGTGCCTGTATGACCTCCCTACAACGCCTGGGCATGCTCCTGATGAGGTGGCGGATGGTCTCCTGAGGGATCTCCTCCCAGACCTTGACTAAAGCATCCGCCAACTCCTGGACAGTCTGTGGTGCAATGTGGCGTTGGTGGATGGAGCGAGACATGAAGTCCCAGATGTGCTCAATTGGATTCAGGTCTGGGGAACGGCGGGCCAATCCATAATATCAATGCCTTCCTCTTGCAGGAACTGCTGACACACTCCAGCCACATGAGGTCTAGCATTGTCTTGCATTAGGAGGAACCCAGGGCCAACCGCACCAGCATATGGTCTCACAAGGGGTCTGAGGATCTCATCTCGGTACCTAATGGCAGTCAGGCTACCTCTGGCGAGCACATGGAGGGCTGTGCGGCCCCCCAAAGAAATGCCACCCCACACCGTGACTGACCCACCGCCAAACCGGTCATGCTGGATGATGTTGCAGGCAGCAGAACGTTCTCCACGGCGTCTCCAGACTCTGTCACGTCTGTCACATGTGCTCATCTGTGAAGAGCACAGGGCGCCAGTGGCGAATTAGCCAATCTTGGTGTTCTCTGGCAAATGCCAAACGTCCTGCACGGTGTTGGGCTGTAAGCACAACCCCCACCTGTGGACGTCGGGCCCTCATACCACACTCATGGAGTATGTTTCTGACCGTTTGAGCAGACACATGCACATTTGTGGCCTGCTGGAGGTCATTTTGCAGGGCTCTGGCAGTGCTCCTCCTGCTTCCTCCTTGCACAAAGGCGGAGGTAGCAGTCCTGCTGCTGGGTTGTTGCCCTCCTACGGCCTCCTCCACATCTCCTGATGTACTGGCCTGTCTCCTGGTAGCGCCTCCATGATCTGGACACTACGCTGACAGACACAGTAAACCTTCTTGCCACAGCTCGCATTGATGTGCCATCCTGGATGAGCTGCACTACCTGAGCCACTTGTGTGGGTTGTAGACTCCGTCTCATGCTACCACTAGAGTGAAAGCACCGCCAGCATTCAAAAGTGACCAAAACATCAGCCAAGAAGCATAGGAACTAAGAAGTGGTCTGTGGTCACCACCTGCAAAACCAGTCCTTTATTGGTGGTGTCTTGCTAATTGCCTATAATTTCCACCTGTTGTCTATTCCATTTGCACAACAGCATGTGACATTTATTGTCAATCAGTGTTGCTTCCTAAGTGGACAGTTTGATTTCACAGAAGTGTGATTGACTTGGAGTTACATTGTGTTGTTTAAGTGTTCCCTTTATTTTTTTGAGCAGTGTAAATGCTTCAGAGTTCAAGTCACAGACACATCTCAACATCAACAGTTCAGATGGGACTGTGTGAATCAGGACTTCATGGTCGAATTGCTGCAAAAAAAAACACTAAACCACTACTAAAGGACATCAATAAGAAGAAGAGACCTGCTTGGGCCAAGAAACACGAGCAATGGACATTAGACAGGTGGAAATTTGTCCTTTGGTCTGGAGCCCAAATTGGAGATTTTTGGTTCCAACAGCCGTGTCTTTGTGAGACGTGGTGTGGGTGAACGGATGATCTCTGCATGTGTAGTTCCCATCATAAAGCATGGAGGTGGTGGTGTTATGGTGCTTTGCTGGTGACACTGTCTGATTTATTTAGAATTCAAGGCACACTTAACCAGCATGGCTACCACAGCATTCTGCAGCGATACGCCATCCCATCTGGTTTGGGCTTAGTGGGACTATCATTTGTTTTTCAACAGGACAATGACCCAACACACCTCCAGGCTGTGTAAGGGCTATTTTACCGAGATGGAGAGTGATGGAGTGCTGCATCAGATGACCTGGCCTCCACAATCCCCCGACCTCAACCCAATTGAGATGGTTTGGGATGAGTTGGAAGGCAGAGTGAAGGAAAAGCAGCCAACAAGTGCTCAGCATATGTGGAAACCCCTTCAAGACTGTTGGAAATGCATTCCAGGTGAAGCTGGTTGAGAGAATGCCATGAGTGTGCCAAGCTGTCATCAAGGCAAAGGGTGGCTTATTTGAAGAACCTCAAATATAAAATATATTTTGATTTGTTTAACACTTTTTTGGTTACTACATGATTCCATGTGTTATTTCATAGTTTTGATGTCTTCACTATTATTCTACAATGTAGAAAACAGTAAAAAATAAAGAAGAACCCTTGAATGAGTAGGTGTGTCCAAACTTTTGACTGGTACTGTAGACAGGTGTGTGCCTTTCCAAATCATGTCCAATCAATTGAATTGAACACAGGTGGACTCCAATCAAGTTGTAGAAACATCTCAAGGATGATCAATGGAAACAGGATGCACCTGAGCTCAATTTCAAGTCTCATAGCAAAGGGTCTGAATAGTGAATACTTTTTATTTTTAATAAATTTGCAAAAATGTCTAAAAACCTGTTTTCGCTTTGTCATTATGGGGTATTGTGTGTAGATTGATCAGGAATGTATTTTATTTTATCCATTTTAGAATAAGGCTGTAAAGTAATAAAGTACGTACATACAGAGTTTGCATTTCCGGGGTACATTTCTATTTGTTCCATTACACCGGGGTAGTTAATGTGGAAAGTGCGCACCTCAAGTATTTGATGGAAAACAAATTATTTGTACAATTCTGTCCCAGCCAGGTCTGCTGGTGACTAGACTAGTGCTGCTGACACAATGGCTGTGTCTGCAGGGCTGTGAAAGGGATATGGAATACAAGGCCCGTTGCCATAGCTACTTGGCTCGCTCTGTACATGAGCTGAGAGCCAAGAAGAGGCTACAATGCTAAGATTAACCTCCTAGGCACCTACCAACTCTGTATAGCAAAGCATAGCCAGAATGCTAACATAGGACAGCAATAGCATGACCCTATACCACCTTGTAGCTAGCAAACCTATGCTAACATTGAATAAGTTCCTCCAGCAAACACTCCTTAGAGCAAACAGAGATGCTAAGGCTCTATTTTAACACACTAGTATTAAATAATGCTCTGTGGACAATACAAGGCTAAACTATTAGTCAATTGACTCTATACAGGGGAGCAAAGTCTAAATCCTGCTCATGTCACTTGTAGCCTACTGTATAGAATAGATGACTGGCTGGAGAAACTGAGGATAGAAAGTCAGAAAAGTAAATAGGTCATCACTCCAAAATGCGTGTGGTAATATCACAGGGGACTGGAGACATCTTCTTTGGTAGAGTAGAGGAGGTTTGTTAACCAAATAGCAGTCCCGTTTCCTCCATGGAACTCTATGCAAAACATCCCTACCATCTCCCAGTGTGGGTTGGGGGTATTCTTTTTAGATGAGATGGCTCGGATTTAGCTGAATAGTGCCTCCGAGGCAGGCAGGTGGACTATATTATATGTACATGATATAGCATAGCCTATTTCTATTCTGAAAGTTATGTCGTGTTGCATCCTCCCACCTAGATCTTGGTTCAGTTGAGTATCTATCAAGAAGCTATAGTGAGGGACCTTCCAAGAGGTCTGAGTCTTTATTGCACAGGAGATAATGTTAGACATCCTGAAACCTCCCCCACATAACCCTCCTGAAACTAACGTTACTTGTATAATGTTGTAATAACATAACAACAAACACTAGCTAGAAACATGGAGATTTTGTAATTGGTCTTCATGGGTTTGATGAAGTTAGAGAATTTGACAATGACACATTGAAATTTGATATTGCCTGGTCAAACTGACTCATGCACTGTGGTCTGAACGCAACCATGGTTACATTAAGACACCGTGGAGCTGACAAAGTACCTCAATGCAGGGATGGGATATGCCACTGTAATCCACATGTTACCTTTATCCACACTGCTCCATAGAGAAGATTCAAATACTGCTAGTTTTCCCAGAAAACTGCCCTTTTCATGCTAGTTAGCAAAATGGCTGCGCATTGTTAGAATGAGGACTAAAGGGCATTTTTCAATCCTCTCGATGGAGCAATGTGGATAAAGGTACATTTTGGAGTACAGTGGTATATCCAATCCCCATATCTCGCACAGGCTTTATGGTGTCTTAATGTAACCATGATTGCGTTCTGACCCCAGTGCACCTCACTGTAAACAAGCGTAAGTGTAGGGTCGGTAACTTCTGGCAAGGAAATAGCCATTACTTAATTGTCACTGTTTTATGCTAACGTTTATTTGAATTGGCTAACATAAAAGTTAGCCAACTAGCTAGCTAAACAAGCTAGGTAGCTACTTTGCTAATTGACAGCAGGTTCATTTCACATGGGGAACTCGTTATTGAGCAATTACAGTAACATCATATGGACATTGATTGATTGTCAATGCGTTAACTTGTCATAAATTGTTAAACACATGATTCAAAAGGAAAAAGTGCTTCCGAGAATTTCAGGGTGCGGCAATGGAGTTATAATTAGCAGCCTAGCCCTTTCCGCACAGGTGAAATAGCTAGCTAACTGTTAGATGGCTAACTGGAGTTAGCTAGTTACGTTAGTCTGGTAGTATTTCTAACCTCATGAGGATTTCCAGCGAGCTTTCGTGTTTGTCGAGCGGCCTCCCCAGAGCACTCTTGCGCAGCTTGTTCAACTCCTCCACAGATCGGATGTACTCAGCTTGATCCTCGCCCGTCGGGTATGACGCCGTAACAAATTTCGAGAGCGGTTTAACTAGGTCGACTTCAGACGACTTCTTTAACGGGACAGAAATAAAAGTCGCCATTTTCGGCCAGCGAAAAGTAACAAATAAAATGTGAGAAGGCAGCTAGCTATCAATCAGACAAAAACAACAAGCGACTCTTCACTTCCTGGATTCTACTGCGAAACGTCAGAAGACGTTGACGCATAGAGGGAGCTGCGCAGACGCAGTGAGGGCCAGACAGGGGCAAGACAGGTTTCTGATTATATCTCGATTTCAGATAGACAGGACACGCTCATATGCAATTGCATAATCAAATTCTATTGTATGTTTTTGGAAGGGCCCAAAACATGCCTATTCACCCCAAAAAAATATCTAGGTGTGCATTTTTTCCCCTTAATTCTATGGTACGCTTACATTTATGGCTACATTTAGACATGAACATGACTAGGATTTTTTTTATTTTAAGGTGCAATATGCAGAAATCGCTCCGCCATTTCCTGGTTGCTAAAATTCTAAAAGTTCACCTAATTTCAGTTATGTGGTCCTCTGTAGCTCAGCTGGAAGAGCACGGCGCTTGTAACGCTAAGGTAGTGGGTTCGATCCCCGGGACCACCCATACTATCTAAACTGCTGTGAAATATATTTTAAATAACCAAAAAGATTGTATTTTCAGCTGGTGTACAAAACCAAAAGTACAAGAAGCAAAAAGACACTTAAGGGAAGCATAGAAATAGCACACATAGAACATATCTACTGCTTCTTAGACTTGCTATCAATGAGAATGACAGATTTATAACCCATGTGTATGTGAATTTGGTCTGGTTGCCCAAAAGTTACATATTGCAGCTTTAAATACATCTATTCATGTTTTCCATACAATCTGTGATATCATTCATAGCATGTTATGGTACGTGGCCCTTATAAATAAACACACACACCATCTTTATGAAATAACTTTATTTCCAGAACAGAAGTGTGTGTGCATCTCCAGTTCGACTGTAGGCTGTACAGAAACACAGTGATCACCTCCTCACTGACACACGGAGACAGGGAACACAGGTTGCTAGAACTGGGACCGGTAACACTGTATTATGTCTTTTTTTACACATTTCTGTGTGAAAGGCTCCCAGCATTCTGTTTTTGACCCAGGTCTGTAGAGCTGGGGTGTATATGTTCTGAACGTTGCAGATAAATATAGAATGAATAGAGCTGACATGAATCACTACTTTATCTGACAGACGATCATATCCGTTCAACACCATACATTTATATCTGAACGTTCTGTAACGATGCACCCTCCTGAACAGGCCCCTGTGCTCCTCAGTCTCTGGTGTTGTTGAAGTAGGTGACACTCAATGTTCAGTGTCACCTCTACATTATTAATAATATTCACTTTATTTCTCCCAGGTTCAGTGAAGAGCGTGGTTCACAAACTACACACTACATCAAGTTGGACTTCTGTGGTTTTCAGTGCAGACTTGGTCTTTTATTTCTGGGGGGGAAAAAAGGGAAGACTGGGCTACACTTTTTTTCGGACAAAAAAAAAAACCTTCCTACTCTCCCCCGCCCAACTCATGCTCTTGACTAAAGGCAAACTATGCAGGGTTCATGCCAAGAGGAAAAGCAGTGATAACTACTGAAATTATTAAACTAAGTTAGCCATTGCAATAATTGCTAGGAGATAAACACATACTCAAACAGTCACACAGTTTCCACTGCCTGCAGTCAACGACTAACTATACAGCCAGTGACAGATCTAAGAAAACATACAGGGTTTCCAGCCCATCCTGTCAGGGGTGAAGGAAGGCCACACATTGGATAAGCCCCTGGTTTCACTACCAGACACACAACCTGGTTCTAACATCTACTTCTTCCCAAATCAGTTTGGTCCATTTCAGTGAGTTTATTTAAGCCATATAGTCTAGAGATGCTTCCTCCTCACCCCTCTCCTTCATGCCAATAGTCAGAGTATAGTCAGTGTGTGTGTCCACTCCCCTACATATTTATTTGGACAGTGAAGCTAAACCTTTTAATTTGGCTCTATATTCCAGCATTTTGGACTTGAGATCAAATGTTTTATATGAGGCGACAGTATAGAACGTCACCTTTTATTTGAGGGTATTTTCATACATATCCGTTTTACCATTTAGAAATGAAAGCACTTTAAGGTCTCATAAGTATTTGGACAAATTGAAATAGTGTATTAAATGTAATAAAACGTTTAGTATTTGGCCCCATATTCCTAGCACACAATGACTACATCAAGCTTGTGACTCTACAAACGTGTTGAATGCACTTGCAGTTTGTTTTGGTTGTGTTTCGGATTATTTTGTGCCCAATAGAAATGGTAAATAAAGTATTGTCATTTTGGAGTCACTTTTATTGTAAATAAGAATAGAATAGGTTTCTGAACACATCTATACTAATGTGGATGCTACCATTATTACAAATAATCATGAATGAATCATGAATAATGATAAGTGAAAAAGTTAGAGGCATAAATATCATACCCCCCCAAAAATGCTACCCTCCTGTGACTGGTAATGGTGAGAGAGCTATGCATGTTTTGGGGGCATGATCTTTGTGCATCTGTAACTTTCTCACTAATTCACAATTAATTCATGATTACCCGTAATCATGGTAGCATCCACATTAATGGTGTTCAGAAACATTTAAGATTCTGATAAAAAAAATTAAAAAAAGTAAGACTACAATACTTCTGACACCTTCAAATGGGGGGACTAGATACATAAAGTGCATGCATTTCTAAACGGCAAAACGTATGAAATACCCTCAAATAAAAGGCGACATTCTGTACTGTCGCCTCATCAAAACATTTGATCTCAAATCCCGGTGTATAGAGCCAAATTAAAAGTTTGAGCTTCACTGTCCAAATAAACATGTAGGGGAGTGTATGTGTGTGAGAAAAAGAAAACTGACCATAGCAAACAGTGAGAAGTATGGCATCAGAGACACATTATCTTACACAACAGCCAAAACAAAGAAACTGCCTTCCTCAAAAGACAAACTAAAAACGATAAAAGAGACAGTAAAAATATGAAATGTGTCATTTAAGAGACTTGAGTGGGGTGAAACAACTATCCATGATGCTTAGACATGTCTATGCAGGCTAGGTCTTCAGTGGAAATCCCCTGTCCTGCTCTGAAATATTGCAACGAAGTCTCAGTATTAATCTGTACATAAATCTGAGACACTTCATTTAGTATATGTTACGTTTCGTATGGTATGCATTAATTTGTGGATGTCTATCATCCATTTCTTATGATATGTTACGAATTGCAATTTGTTGTGGCTAACGTTAGCTAGGGGTGGTTAACATTAGCTAGCTTGCTAACAATATCTAGGCTAGGGGTTAGGTTTAGGGATTAAGGTTAGGAGTTGGGTTAAAGGGTTAAGGTTTGGGGAATAATTAGCTAAAAGGGTTAGGGTTAGGGGAAGGGTTAGCTAACATGCTATGTAGTTGCAAAGTAGCTAAAATGTAGTAAGTAGTTGAAAAGTTACTAATTAGCTAAAATGCAACAATTGTCCTTCAGATTCGAACATGCTCCTTTTGTTTTTGCTTTAAGTAACCTTCGGTCTTATGTAACACTATATACACAAAAGTATGTGGACACCCCTTCAAATTAGTGGATTCGGCTATTTCAACCACACCCGTTGCTGACAGGTGTATCAAATCGAGCACACAGCCATGCAATCTCCATAGACTGAAAATTGGCAGTAGAATGGCCTTACTGAAGAGCTCAGTGATTTTTAATGTGGCACCGTCATAGGATGCCACCTTTCCAACAAGTCTGTCCGTCAAATGTCTGCCCTGCTAGAGCTGCCCCGGTCAACTGTAAGTGCTGTTTAAGTGGAAACGTCTAGGAGCAACAACGGCTCAGCCACGAAGAGGTAGGCCACACAAGCTCACAGAACAGGACCACCAAGTGCTGAAGCGCGTAAAAATTGTCTGTCCTCGGTTGCAACACTCACTACTGAGTTCCTGCCTCTGGAAGCAACATCAGCACAAGAACTGTTCGTCGGGAGCTTAATGAAATGGGTAGTAGAATGGCCGAGCAGCCGTACCCAAGCCTATGATCACCATGCACAATGCAAGCATCAGCTGGAGTGGTGTAAAGCTCACCGCCATTGGACTCTGGAGCAATGGAAATGCGTTCTCTGGAGTGATGAAGGCTCTTTCCTGTTTCAGCAGGACAATGCCCCTGTGCACAAAGCGAGATCCATACAGAAATGGTTTGTCGAGATCGGTGTGGAAGAACTTGACTGGCCTGCACAGAGCCCTGACCTCAACCACATCAAACACCTTTGGGATAAATTGGAACGCAGACTGCGAGCCAGGCCCAATCGCCCAACATCAGTGCCCTGACCTCAGTAATGCTTGTGGCTGAATGGAAGCAAGTCCCCACAGCAATATTCCAACATCTAGTGGAAAGCCTTCCCAGAAGAGAGGAGGCTGTTATAGCAGCAAAGGGGGGACCAACTCCATATTAATGGCTTTGGAATGAGATGTTCGACGAGCAGGTGTCCACATACACTACATGACCAAAAGTATCATACTAATTTGAGTGTCCCGGATTTACATTTACTATGTTATGTCTAGTCTATGAGAGCAGTCTGTATATTATGGTATCAGACCTGGTTCATATGATTCATGAACCAGAAGAACAGGCCCTGTTAGCATTCTGTTAGCCAGTGTCTAACACCCCTAACAGTCCACAAAATCATTACTTGATTGGCTAAGATGACCCCCATCCTCACTAGTTCTAGAATATCTGGGAACAGATCTAGAACGTTCAGATCTAGACTATTGGGTTCTACACAACCACACAGAGACTGTTGTGTTCTAGATCAGGGGTGTCAAACTCATTCCTCGGAGGGCCGAGTGTCTGCGGATTTTTGGTTTTTCCTTTCAATTAAGACCTAGACAACCAGGTGAGGGGAGTTCCTTACTAATTAGTGACCTTAACTCATCAATAAGTTACAAGGGTGGAGCAAAAACCCGCAGACACTCGGCCCTCCTTGGAATGAGTTTGACACGTTTTCTAGACAGTTTGTTCTGTTTGAGTTTGTTAGTTGCCAGCTCTGCTTCCGTGGAAGTGGTCGAGTCTCATTCAAAGCGAATGAGACGCAAGACTCTGGAGCATTGGACTCTGGAGCATTGGACTCTGGAGCAATGGAAATGCGACGCAAGTGTCTGGGTTCCGTCTGTCTGTCCATCAATCTGTATGTTCAAGTCACATGGAGTTACAGCATCACAGCACTGACTGACTAATGGCCCTGGCCTAGCCCTGGCTGAAGCCTATAGCACTGCCTCTATGAGCCTCTCTGTGGGGGGGGGGGGGGGGGGGGGGCAGCCTAACCCTCCCCCACTTATAAAACATTAAAGAAATGGAGAGAAAAAAAACACGCTACAAGCCTCCCTCTCTATCCCCTCTCCTCACCCGTCTCTCCCCCTCAGTAATAGTGTTTTCAATATGAAACAGTGGTCACACCCGCGTCAGATTCTAACATTAACATGGCTTCAGTTCAGTCCCTAGGTCCGTCTGCCTTACACATAGCAATCTGAACGATAGGAGAGAGTGTGAGGGAGGGAGGCTGCTCTGCTTGTCACGGAGGGAGGAGTGTTGAGTGATGTCATCACACTCACATCCTCCATCGCTACTTCAAAACCAGGTGGAGCCCCTCCCCCGTTTCATCTAGAGAGATAGAGAAAGAAAAAGAAAGGGAAAGAGGTAGTGTTAGCATGGAGGCCAAACAAAGAAAACATAAATAACTAGAAAAGGAAAGTTAGACCAGAAATGTCTCGGGCCAGACACACAGTCAGACTATCAACATACCTTTGAGTGTGCCAATGAGAAAGCAGCTCTCGTCAGGTAAGTTGTAAACCACCTGGGGAACAACATTAAATAACTTCATCATTAAATACTCATTAAAACAAGGGCTGTTACTGTTCATAAATCTTTACTAAAAATAATGTACAAAAAAAGAAAAATATTTTATAACTAAAACACAATGTAATCAGTCGTGATAAAGAATTAAAACGGGTAGATAACTCCAATAGCTGTGATGCGCAGTCTGTTTGGGGGAGTGATTTGAATGGCACACTTCCTGAGTGAGCTGAAGGGGGACGGGTTAGGGTGGGACACAGCATTGTGTAACAGAGAGGCAGTATGTAAATGTAATGCAAACACCCGATCGACAGATCACTGATGGACAGAGAACATCAGCTCTTCCTGGTCAAAGATAACATTCACACAGGATGTATAGGTGTAGGTATGTGTGTGTGTGTACCTGTTTTCTCAGCAGTGTGTGTGTGTGTACCTGGTCACTCAGCAGTATGTGTATTCCTGTGGGTCCTTGTCGGTAGACCTGGTTGATCTGTCCCAGTGGAACGCTACACACACACGCCATCTTCCTGATCAACTCAGCCGCCGTCAGCTCCTCCAGGTATAGAGCATGGTACACTGCAGACACACACAACCCCATTAAAACACACACACCCACATTAAAACAGACACACACGCTGATGCTTCTATAATGGAGACACACAGATGAGTATACAGTATATTCCAAATGAGTCCTCCCAGAAAAGGTTGCTTTATCCACTAGGAAACAATTGTGGTCGTATAATGCCAAACTACTATCATAATTCTTTATGAAAAAGGGGAAAGCACACATGAACAGGAATATTTATTTCAGCTTTAGTTCATTTATTTTTTCCACTTTTAAGCCAGCAACATTTCTGGTTATACATATGCTTTCCCCTTTTTCTGAGGAATTATATTCTCTCTCTTTAAAGGGGCACTCTGTAGTTCAAACAATAAGAAAGCAGTCACCCCGCCAGTGTTGGTAAATAGCTGACTGACCATCCATGAGATCAAAACGACAAAGAAACCACAGGAGGCTGCTGAGGGGAGGATGGCTTATAATAAAGTCTGGAATGGAGTGAATGGAATGGTAGCAAACAAATGGAAACCATGTGCTTGATGCGTTCGATACCATCCCATTTATTCCATTCCAGCCATTACTATGAGCTGGTCCACCCCAATTAAGGTGCCACCGGCCGCCTGTGAGACAACCGTACCATATAAGTTAGGCGAGTCACTGTGCTCTCCGTTCTCACTGTCGCAGCGTCTCTCCAGCAAGGGGCTCTCCACATCACACTCCTGACACACATAGATTGTCAACCTGGGACGCACCGACCTGCAAGAATACTTACACGTTATACACACACACACACACACACACATTAAACACAGATAAACAGGAACATAATCGGAGATGCACACATTCACATATCCTGTCTAACAACCTCTCTAGGGTGTTCACCCACTCTGCCCAGGTATCAAACACTCTGCCCAGAGTGGGTGAAAACGCGCTTTGGTGATAATTTCACTTATACATTTTTAAAATACATTTTACCAAGACAAATATGATTATTCATGTTCTGAATCGTTCAGTGGAGTCTTCTTCTAACGTGTCATTGAAGTTATATGCAAAAAGTCGGATTTCGTAACCTAATACATCCGATAATAAGCACCGAGCTCTTTTGACATAATGGTGCAGGTTTCTCGAACAACTTTTGAGGATTTTACATTTTGTGGTCGTCGTCTTCAAAGTTTTTTCTGTGGGTCGCATAAAATGCTAAATTAGCATTGTAAATGTAAAATGCTTTGACAGTAAAAAGCTTGGTATACAGTGCATTCGGAAAGTATTCTGACCCCTCATCAATCTACACACAATACCCCATACATGACAAAGCGAAAACATTTATTTTTATTTTTAATTGTGCAACTGTATAAAAATTTTAAAACAGAAATTCCTTATTTACATAAGTATTCAGACCCTTTGCTATGAGACTCGAAATTGAGCTCAGGTGCATCCTGTTTCCATTGATCATCCTTGAGATGTTTCTACAACTTGATTGGAGTCCACCTGTGGTTAATTCAATTGATTGGACATTATTTGGAAAGCACACATCTGTCTATATAAGGTCCCACAGTTGACAGTGCATGTCAGAGCAAAAACCAAGCCATGAGGTCAAAGGAATTGTCCATAGAGCTCAGAGACAGGATCGTGTCGAGGCACAGATCTGGGGAAGGGTACCAAAAAATGTCTGCAGCATTGAAGATCCCCAAGAACACAGTGGCCTCCATCATTCTTACATGGAAGAAGTTTAGAACCACCAAGACTCTTCCTAGAGCTGGCCGCCCGGCCAAACTGAGCAATCAGGGGAGAAGGGCCTTGGTCAGGGAGGTGACCAAGAACCCTATGGCCACTCTGACAGAGCTCCAGAGTTCCTCTGTGGAGATGGGAGAACCTTCCAGAAGGACAACCATCCCTGCAGCACTCCACCAATCAGGCCTTTATGGTAGAGTGGCCAGATGGAAGCCACTCCTCAGTAAAATGCACATGACAGCCCACTTGGAGTTTGCCAAAAGGCAACTAAAGGACTCTCAGACCATGAGAAACCAGATTCTCTGGTCTGATGAAACCAAGATTGAACTCTTTGGCCTGAATGACAATTGTCACATCTGGAGGAAACCTGGCACCATCCCTACGGTGAAGCATGGTGGTGGCATCATGCTGTGGGGAGTAAAGTACAGAGAGATCCTTGATGAAAACCTGCTCCAGAGCGCTCAGGACCTCAGACTGGGGCGGAGGTTCACCTTCCAACAGGACAACGACCCTAAGCACACAGCTAAGACAACGCAGGAGTGGCTTCAGGACAGTCTCTGAATGTCCTTGAGTGGCCCAGCCAGAGCCCGGACTTGAACCCGATCAAACATCTCTGGAGAGACCTGAAAATAGCTGTGCAGCGACACTCCCCATCCAACCTGACAGAGCTTGAGAGGATCTGCAGACAAGAACGGGGAAAAACTCCCCAAATATAGGTGTGCCAAGCTTGTAGCGTCATACCCAAGAAGACTCAAGGCTGTAATCACTGCCAAAAGGTGCTTCAACAAAGTGCTGAGTAAAGGGTCTGAATACTTATGTAAATGTGATATTTCAGTTTTTTATTTTTAAGAAATTAGCAAAAATGTCTAAACCTGTTTTTGCTTCGTCATTATGGGGTATTGTGTGTAGATTGATGGGGGGGGGGGGGGGGACTATTTAATCAATTTGAGAAAAAGGCTGTAACGTAACAAAATGTGGAAAAAGTCAAGGGGTCTGAATACTTTCCGAACACACTGTACGCTGAGTGCTCCGTTGACATTTCAGAGTTTGTTTTTGTGAGAAATCTTTGAAAAAGAACAGGAATTTCGCATTAATATGAAAAGCGTATACTAAAATATGAAAATACTACGCTATATTGTTTTATGTCCTGCGGATTCGAGCCCCCCCATAAAAAAAAAGAAAAAAAAGTGGTTGTCCCACGGACTATCCTAAGTTGAATGCACCAATTTGTAAGTCGCTCTGGATAAGAGCGTCTGCTAAATGACTTAAATGTAAATGATTTGAACTCAGTTCGAGTTTTCATAATTCTCGCACAGCATCCAGTTTAGCTGACGCAATGATATTTTCCTGTATTAAAAAAACTATAATATCTGCCTCCATTGTTTTAGTCACCCTAATTTTGGCCATCCTACAAGGGTAAAAACTGCAATAGCTTTTTAACGGATTTGGAGCATTGGTTTTCTTAGAGGAGTACACAATTCAAATATAAGCAATTAACCAAAATGTTGGTTATTTTTGGTTTTTAAACAACTAATTAACCGATGTCCATTCAATTATTTGAATTCCATTTAGTTCGGGGTTTTTTCTGTGAGCACATTGCGCTGCAGTTTCTCTAGAGATAAATCAGATCATGCCCGAGCTGTGCAATGTAGTAGGGAGTTGTAGTTCCAACAGGCCAATGTTCTACATAGATTAGCACAGAAAAGGTGATAATTAACTACAATGATCATAGTTCATTGCGCCCCTCTCACACACCACCCCGTCCCCCAACCCATCTCTCACCCCCTCCCCTCACCCCCTCCCTCTCACCCCCTCCCTCTCTCACCCTCCCTCTCTCACCCTCCCCCTCCCCCCTCCCTGTCAAAAATTTTATAAATTGATTTGCATTTTAATGAGGGAAATAAGTATTTGACCCCTCTGCAAAACATGACTTAGTACTTGGTGGCAAAACCCTTGTTGGCAATCACAGAGGTCAGACGTTTCTTGTAGTTGGCCACCAGGTTTGCACACATCTCAGGAGGGATTTTGTCCCACTCCTCTTTGCAGATCTTCTCCAAGTCATTAAGGTTTCGAGGCTGACGTTTGGAAACTCGAACCTTCAGCTCCCTCCACAGATTTTCTATGGGATTAAGGTCTGGAGACTGGCTAGGCCACTCCAGGACCTTAATATGCTTCTTCTTGAGCCACTCCTTTGTTGCCTTGGCCGTGTGTTTTGGGTCATTGTCATGCTGGAATACCCATCCACGACCCATTTTCAATGCCCTGGCTGAGGGAAGGAGGTTCTCACCCAAGATTTGACGGTACATGGCCCCGTCCATCGTCCCTTTGATGCAGTGAAGTTGTCCTGTCCCCTTAGCAGAAAAACATCCCCAAAGCATAATGTTTCCACCTCCATGTTTGACGGTGGGGATGGTGTTCTTGGGGTCATAGGCAGCATTCCTCCTCCTCCAAACACGGCGAGTTGAGTTGATGCCAAAGAGCTCGATTTTGGTCTCATCTGACCACAACACTTTCACCCAGTTCTCCTCTGAATCATTCAGATGTTCATTGGCAAACTTCAGACGGGCCTGTATATGTGCTTTCTTGAGCAGGGGGACCTTGCGGGCGCTGCAGGATTTCAGTCCTTCACGGCGTAGTGTGTTACCAATTGTTTTCTTGGTGACTATGGTCCCAGCTGCCTTGAGATCGTGTAGTTCTGGGTTGATTCCTCACTGTTCTCATGATATAATATATATATATATATATATATATATATATATATATATATATATATATATATATATATATATATATATATATATATATATATATATGCCACTTAGCAGACGCTTTTATCCAAAGCGACTTAGTCATGCGTGCATACATTTTTAAGTATGGGTGGCCCCGGGGATCGAACCCACTACCCTGGCGTTACAAGCGCCATGCTCTACCAATTGAGCTACGAAGGACCTGATCATTGCAACTCCACGAGGTGAGATCTTGCATGGAGCCCCAGGCTGAGGGAGATTGACAGTTCTTTTGTGTTTCTTCCATTTGCGAATAATCGTACCAACTGTTGTCACCTTTTCACCAAGCTGCTTGGCGATGGTCTTGTAGCCCATTCCAGCCCTGTGTAGGTCTACAATCTTGTCCCTGACATCCTTGGAGAGCTCTTTGGTCTTGGCCATGGTGGAGAGTTTGGAATCTGATTGATTGATTGCTTCTGTGGACAGGTGTCTTTTATACAGGTAACAAGCTGAGATTAGGAGCACTCCCTTTAAGAGTGTGCTCCTAATCTCAGCTCGTTACCTGTATAAAAGACACCTGGGAGCCAGAAATCTCTGATTGAGAGGGGGTCAAATACTTATTTCCCTCATTAAAATGCTAATCAATTCATACAATTTTTGACATGCGTTTTTCTGGATTTTGTTGTTGTTATTCTGTCTCTCACTGTTCAAATAAACCTACCATTAAAATTATAGACTGATCATTTCTTTGTCAGTGGGCAAACGTACAAAATCAGCAGGGGATCAAATACTTTTTCCCCCTCAATGTACATCTGGCAGGAGGTTAGGAAGTGCAGCTCAGTTTCCACCTCATCTTGTGTGCAGTGTGCACATAGCCTGTCTTCTCTTAAGAGCCAGGTCTGCCTACAGCGGCCTCTCTCAATAGCAAGGCTATGCTCACTGAGTCTGTACATAGTCAAAGCTTTCCTTAATTTTGGGCAGGTATTCTGCCACTGTGTACTCTCTGTTTAGGGCCAAATAGCATTCTAGTTTGCTCAGTTTTTTTTGTTTATTCTTTCCAATGTGTCAAGTAATTATCTTTTTGTTTTCTCATGATTTAGTTGGGTCTAATTGTGTTGCTGTCCTGGGGCTCTGTTTGTGAACAGAGCCCCAGGATCAGCTTGCTTAGGGGGCTCTTCTACAGATTCAACTCTCTGTAGGTGATGGCTTTGTTATGGAAGGTTTGGGAATCTCTTACTTTTAGGTGGTTGGAGAATGTAACGGCTCTTTTCTGGATTTTGATAATTAGTGGGTATCGGCCTAATTCTGCTCTGCATGCATTATTTGGTGTTTTACATTGAGGATATTTTTGCAGAATTTGGTGTTTGTCCCATTTTGTGAATTCTTGGTTGGTGAGCAGACCCAATACCTCACAACCATAAAGGGCAATGGGTTATATAGCTGATTCAAGTATTTTTTGCAAGATCCTAATTGGTATGTCGAATTTTATGTTCCTTTTGATGGCGTAGAATGCCCTTCTTCGCTTGTCTCTCAGATCTCTCACAGCCTTGTGGAAGTTACCAGTGGTTATGATGTTTAGGCTGAGGTACGTATAGTTGTTTCTGTGCTCTAGGGCAACAGTGTCTAGATGGAATTTCTATTTGTGGTCCTGGCAACTGGACCTTTTTTGGAAAACCATTATTTTTGTCTTACTGAGATTTACTGTCACGGCCCAGCTCTGTCAGAATCTGTGCAGAAGATGTAGGTGCTGCTGTAGGCCCTACATTTGACTTCAGATTCTAGTAGGGTGAGGCCGGGTGCTGCAGACTGTTCTAGTGCCCTTGCCAATTCGTGATATATATGTTGAAGAGGGTGGGGCACAAGCTGCATCCCTGTCTCACCCCACGGAACTGTGGAAAGAAATGTTGTTTTTTTTTGCCAATTTTAACCGCACACTTGTTATTTGTGTACATGGATTTTATAACGTCGTATGTTTTTCCCCCCAACACCACTTTCCATCAATTTGTATAGCAGACCCTCATGCCAAATTGAGTCAAACGCTTTTTTGAAATCAACAAAGCATGAGAAGACGTTCCCTTTGTTTTGGTTTGTTTGTCAATTACAGTGTGCAGGGTGAATACGTGGTCTGTCGTACGGTAGTTTGGTAAAAAGCCAATTTGACATTTGCTCAGTACATTGTTTTCACTGAGGAAATGTATGAGTCTGCTGTTAATGATAATGCAGAGAATTTTCCCAAGGTTGCTGTTGACGCATATCCCATCGTAGTTAATGTTGTCAAATTTGTCTCCACTTTTGTGGATTGGGGTGATCAGTCCTTGGTTCCAAATATTGGGGAAGATGCCAGAGCTGAGGATGATGTTAAACAGTTTAAGTATAGCCAATTAGATTTTGTGGTCTGTATATTTTATCATTTCATTTAGGATACAATCAATACCACAGGCCTTTTGGGGTTTGGAGGGTTTGTATTTTGTCCTGTAGTTCATTCAATGTAATTGGAGAATCCAGTGGGTTCTGGTAGTCTTTAATAGTTAATTCTAAGATTTGTATTTGATCATGTATATGTTTTTGCTGATTGTTCTTTGTTATAGAGCCAAAACGATTGGAGAAGTGGTTTATCCATACATCTCCGTTTTGGATTGATAACTCTTCGTGTTTGTTTCATGTGTTCCAATTTTCCCAGAAGTGGCTAGATTCTATGAACTTCAATCAAATTGAGCTGATTTCTGACGTGCTGTTCCTTCTTTTTCCGTAGTGTATTTCTGTATTGTTTTAGTGATTCATCATAGTGAAGGCGTAGGCTCAGGTTTTCTAGGTCTCTATGTTTTTGGTTGGATAGATTTCTTTCTTAGATTTCTCTCACACACCCCCCTCTCGCTCGCTCACACACACACACACACCTCTCTCTCTGACACATCCTCCTCTTGCTCTCTCAAACACACACACACACAGACCCCTCTAACCCCCCCCCACTCTCTCACACACCCTCACCTGGATCTGAGTGTGTAGAAGAGTCTGATTCCATCAGCAGCTCCACAGATCTGAACCAGGTCTTCCCGGGTCAACTTCATTAAGTCACAACCTACACATTACAACAGGTTCACTTTAATAACTCCTACACAATAATCTACACAATGCAAAGAGTGGTGTGTGTGTGTGTGTGTGTGTACCTGAGAAGTGGGAGAAGAGTCGTGCGTATGTGTTGAAGCGGTTCTTGACAAGCCACTTCTGAGCCTCCTTGATGGTAGCTGTAGGACTGAGCTGCTTTAGAGGGGGAGATAGAGAAAGAGAATAATGTGTGTTGGGGTGGGGTGGTGGGGGGGGGGGGGGGTAACAATGAATTTCAACAACCTAAACTGGATTTGAGACACGTCCATGTGTGTGGTGTATACTAACCTCTGTGACAACTTGGCTGACAGGGTCTGTCTGGTGATCGGGTGACGAGGGGCCACTGGAATACAACAGTCATAGTCAGCAATCTCTCACTACGTCCACAGACTTTTCTCAATCTCTCACACACGCACACAGGCCTACCTGTCAGGTACAGAGGAGGCAGTGTATGTGGAGAGAGGTGTGGAGGAGAAGGAGGGGCCAGCTGTCTGGGGAGAGCTGATGTAGGCATCAGGCCACGGAGAACACTGACCAGAGAGGAGAGAGATGTGATTACACTACTAAGCATTACCGTCACCAACTACCAAGCATCAAACAACTCCACATATTATATTAACTTCCTTGACAGGACGATAGAGGATGTTTATATAATATATAGTGCCTTCAGAAAGTATTCACACCCCTTGACGTAACCCACATTTTGTTATGTTACAGCCTGAATTTAAAATTAATTTAATTGAGATTGTGTCACTGGCCTACACACAATAACCCATAATGTCAAAGCGGAATTATGTTTTTAGAAATTAATTACAAATGAAAAGCTGAAATGTCTTGAGTCAATAAGTATTAAACTCCTTTGTTATGGCAAGCCTAAATTAGTTCAGGATTAAACATTTGCTTAACAAGTCACATAATATGTGTGCAATAGTGTTTAACATTATTTTTTAATGACAACCTCATCTCTGTACCTCACACATACAGATAAATGTAAGGTCCCCCAGTCGAGCAGCGAATTTCAAACACAGATTCAACCACAAAGATCAGAGAGGTTGTCCAATGCCTTGCTAAGAAAGGCACCGTTTGGTAGATGGGTTAAAAAAATATATACAGTACCAGTCAAAAGTTGACACACCTACTCATTCAAATGGTTTTTCTTTATTTTTACTATTTTCTACATTGTAGAATAATAGTGAAGACATCAAAACTATGAAATAACACCTATGGAATCATGTAGTAACCAAAAAAGTGTTAAACAAGTCAAAATATATTTGAGATTCTTCAAATAGCCACCCTTTGCCTTGATGACAGCTTGGCAATCTCTCAACCAGCTTCACCTGGAATGCTTAAAAGAGTTCCCACATATGCTTTTCCTTCACTCTGCGGTCCGACTCATCCCAAACCATCTCAAATTGGGTTGAGAACATACAAGAAGCCAGAAACATGTTGAGAAAGGATGATGAGAAAACAAACAGAAAGAAAGTGGACTGGTCCACGGGACCTCCGCCATACACCGGTGAACAACATCCACAGGTGTCCGGAGCAGTATTCCCGAAGGAGAGAAAAGGACCCGAAAGAAGCAGGAAGAATCAAACAAAGGGCAGAAACAAAGCCAAACAGATTGGACTGCTATGGAGAGCTAAGGGAGACCTTGGGAAGAATGAAGATGACAAAAGAAGACGACGGGGAATCTCCGGATGAAGATATGACAAATATCGAAGCAACAAACGAACTAATAGGAAGAGAAATATACAAAATGACGAGAAAATTGAGGGAAAAGGAAGAAAGGGAGAGAGAACAGAGCTGGGTTAGACAACAGACTGACAGGGAACTAGAAGAGGAGGAAGAAGGAGCAGCGGCTGAAATATGGGGGGGGGGGCCTGTGACCAAGAAGTAAGGGAGGAAAGAGTGCGGACTAGGAGAACACTGGAAAAAACCTAAAAAATATGAGGGGCAATATCCCATTTTAATAAAAGGTACCCAGGCACATTATGTTCCATGGGGATCGCAGGACCTGGAAGGATTGGTTGCCCATCTGCCAGATTTGCATGATGGGGCAGGAAAATGGATAAGGACCTTTGAGGAACAAACCATGGGGAAACTGCTGGCTGTGGGGGATCTGAAGGCACAGTTGGCAAGGGTGGTAGGAAAGGCAAAAATGGAGGATATACTGGGGAACAGTGACCTGAGGAGAGGAGTGACAGACCCGCAAGGAGACGGGATGGACTTTGACTCACATCGCCTTGAAGTCTCACAAGACCCCAAGTCACTACAAGGGTGGACACTGGGGGAAACGGAGAATCCAGCTGCCTATCTACACGAACAGATGAAACGATGGAGACTGGAAACAGAACGGGGACCCACTAATGACAACTATTTTCCGAAACTCAGTGATAGAGGCCATGCGCCAGCCAGTGAAAAGCAGGCTGGAGGATGTGGTAGGAATAACCTCAAAGTCACACAAAGAATTCTGTGACCATGTGATACATGCAGTAGAAAAACACAGAAAGGATGAACAGAGACTCACAGAACAGGGGAGAGACATTCAGAGAAAGCTGACTCAACTCCAACTGGAAGAGCTGACAAAACAGAGGGAAGAAGAAAATCCAGGCTCCAGTAACAGCACCTATGACTGAGACAGGAATGGTGGCTGCAGTCTCCTCCGGAGGGCCACATCTGATTCCCGCGCCACAGGCTCAAGTGCAACCCACACCACCAGTAGTGAATGTGTATGCACAACAACCCCAGCAATGGAACAATAGACAACAAAAACCTCTGCAAAACAATCAAAAAGGAGGAAACCGGGGCCCACAAGGGAATCTGCTGGGGATACCAACAGCCAGGGCATACCAGACGAAACTGCCCCACAAACCCCTGGCAACAACAGGGGAACAGAAACCAAAGTAATTGGAAACAAACTGGCGGCTGGCAACAAAATCAGAAACAACTCCAAGGTCCTGTGAATCCATGGGCAGGGCCTAATCAGGGGTACTAGGGGTGCCCAGAGAATCCTACAGGGGAGGGTCAGTTTCCAGTGTTATCTACGCGAGCTGATTAAGAACCTATGCTGCAGGTTCAAATAGAAAACAGAGGCACACCCATGATGATCGATACCGGAGCCACTTACACTTGTGTAAGTCCAAATTATGCCTCTCACCTCCCCATGTCTGGCAAATATGCCAAAACTGTAGGATTCTCGGGATAAACACAGTTAATTCCAATGACAGCTCCAGAATTAGACTGGCTGTTGGCAGAAAAAGGTGGAGTTTGTGTTATGTTTGGGGATGAACGTTGTACCTTCATTCCCAATAATACTGCTCCGGATGGTTCATTCACTGAAGCAATGACTAAGCTCAAAAGGACTACATAAAGAAATTAAGGACAATGCTGGGCATGACGCTCACACTTGGGATTGGATGGACTTAACTTTGGGAAAGTGGGGAGCAATGTTTACAAAAATAGCAATCATGATAGGCATAGCACTTGTAGTAATGGGAATGGTATTTTGTTGTGTACTGCCTTTGTTAAAATCACTCTTGATCCAAACCACAGTAAAGCAAATGACTACAGACAATTGTTAATAATTCACCCAAAGATATACACCCTATTCAGGAAGCTCCAGGACAGTATGTTAATGAATATGGAAAGCCCTGCAATATTAAAGGAGGACCAATGGACTGCCCATTTGGGAATCCTGTGTCTGTATGGTGTTGTCCCTTGGGGTGGATGGGCCTGTCATGGTTACAAAGCTCAACAGCAACAATTGGAGGTTAGCGTAGAGTGAAACCTTCCGGACTTGTACCCAGTACCTGATTGGGCTCCTCGTCCTCATCGTGATGGGTCAGACAATGAGGAAGATACATTGGTCTGAATATTTATTCTTCTAAAATGTAACCACAGATGGCAAGGCTAAGAATAAGTATATGCATATGCATATGCTTACACTCATTATGTTAACTTTTGTTTTATTGGTTGGGACTTATTTAAGTCCCAAAGGGGGGATATGTGGGACATTTTTGGTTAACTACTCTATCTCACTTAGGGGCGGACAACATAAAAACCAATTATATTGATTATGCATGTTGTAGAATGAAATGCCTATATGCCTTAAATGCTTATGGATTAAGAACCAATTAAAGGGTTAAAACAGAGCAGAGACATTTCTTTAGTGCAAATGCTGTGCTTCTGGTAATAGATGGTTCCCTCTAACTCCCTGCAGCTGGTCTGGGTATGTCAATGACATGTGATGGAGATAAAACGTCTTGTTGTAGCTGTGTGGAGATTGGAGTAACAATGGAACTAGTGTTATCACTTGTTTGTGCTTATGACCTGACACACATAGTCACATGCACATAGTCACAAGGAAAAACCATAACCACAAGGTCCTGGGAGGATGGCTGTTGGGGAAGGCTTAAATGTATGTGGTTGAGAATGAGTCACGCCATGACATGTTTAAACCATGTTTAAGTATTGATTGATATGTTTTATAATGTGTTATGAAATGATAAGGGTAAAACAGAATGAACATGATTGATACTTTGTACTCCAGAAGCATGCCTGGATAGTGAATATAGTCAATACAGAGTGTGATTGTTCTTTAACGTACGTATGTATATAATTATTTGAGTCACGCCACCAATATAATGAGATAAGTTAATGAGTTTTTGGTTACTACATGATTCCATTTGTGTTATTTCATAGTTTTGATGTCTTAACTATTATTCTACAATGTAGAAAATAGTAAAAATAAAGAAAAACCCTTGAATAAGTAGGCGTGTCCAAACTTTTGATTGGTAGTGTATATAGATATTGAAAATCACTTTGAGAATGGTGGCGTTATTAATTACACTTTGGATGGTGTATCAATACACCCAATCACTACAAAGATACAGGAGTCCTTCCTAACTCAGTTGAGAGGAAGGAAACTGCTCAGGGATTTCACCATGTGGCCAATGGTGACTTTAAAACAGTTACAGAGTTTAATGGCTATGATAAGAGAAAACTGAGGATGGATCAACAACACTGTAGTTACTCCACAATACTAACCTAAATGACAGAGTGAAAAGAAGGATGCCTGTACAGAATAAAATATTCCAAAGCATGCATCAAGTAAAACTGCTAAAAATGTGGCAGAGAAATGAACATAATGTCCTGAATGCAAAGCGTTATGTTGTTTGGGGCAAATCCAACACAACACATCACTGAGTACCACTCTTCATATTTTCAAGCATTTTGGTGGCTGCATCAGGTTATGGGTATGCTTGTCATCGGCAAGGAACAAGGAGTTATTTTTAGGATAAAAAGAAACAATAGAGCTAAGCACAGACAGAATCCTAAAGAAAAACCTGGTTCAGTCTGCTTTCCAACAGACACTGGGAGACTAATTCATCTTTCAGAAGGACAATAACCTAAAACAAGGCCAAATATACACTGGAGTTGCTTACCAAGACGACGTTGATCGTTCCGGAGTGGCCTAGTTACAGTTTTGACTTAAAATCGGCTTGAAAATCTATGGCAAGACTTGAAAATGGCTGTCTAGCAATGATCAACAACCAACTTGACAGAGCTTGAAGAATTTATAAAAGAATAATATGCTATTATATTGTACAATGCAGGTGTGCAAAGCTCTTTGAAATGTACCCAGAAAGACTCACAGCTGTAATCGCTGCCAAAGGTGATTCTAACATGTATTGACTCCCGGGGGTGAATACTTATGTAAATGAGATATTTCTGTATTTATTTTTCAATACATTTGCAAACATTTCTAAAAACATGTTTTCATTTTGTCATTCTGGGATATTGTGTGTAGATTTTCAATTCAGGCTGTAACACAACAAAATGTGGAATAAGTCAAGGAGTATGAATACTTTCTGAAGGCATTGTAATAGGATATACAGTGCATTCGGAATGTATTCAGACCCCTTGACTTTTTCCACATTTTGTTACATTACAGCCTTATCCTAAAATGGATGAAATGGTTTTTTCCCCCTCATCAATCTACACACAATACCCCATAATGACAAAGCAAAAACAGGTTTATATAAATGTTTGCAAATTTATTAAAAATTAATAACTGAAATATCACATTTACATAAGTATTTACATTAAGTATTTTATTTTGGTATACATTTGCAAACATTACAAAAAAAACTGTTTTCGCTTTGTCATTATGGGATATTGATGTTTTAATCAATTTTAGACTAAGGCTGTAACGTAACAAAATGTGGAAAAAGAGAAGGGATTTGAATACTTTCCGAATGCACTGTATAATATATAGGACGCTTACAGTGCCTCTCTTGGCCAGCGAGTCCCCACAGTCAGCCGGCAGCGTCCGCTTGCTGGACTTCTTCAGCTCATAGTCTCCTGCCTCCTCTATGATGGGCTCCAGCCTCATCTACACACACACACACAGAGTTTCACATAAACATTCACACTCACAATCTGACCACTAAAAAAACTTGACTACTGATACCGGTAAGTGGACTTTCAATACATGCAAACTCTGTTTAAGTGTATTCTAGTTTTCCAGTCCTGATTAAATGCCATTCAAACCCCCAGACTGACTAACCTCTGATAGTATGGTTGTGTCGTAGGAGGGCTGGTACTTCTCCTTTTCCTGAGACGGTCGTTTCTCCATCTTCTCTCTGTCAGTCTTCTGTTTCCTGTCTGCCCCCTTTGGCTGGGGGGAGGAGAGAGAGCGAGAGAGAGAAAGAGGGAACGCGGAATGTTAAATCAGGTGCAGCCATGTCATCTGCATGTCAAAGTGTTTAAGTGTGATTGACTGTGTTCAGAGAACATGTGTGTGTACCTTGAAGACTTTGATTTGGCAGGAGGCAGAGTGGAGGTGTTCAGTGTACTCTCCGTCGTCTCCCTGTCTGAAAGTGTCGATCTGGATCCTGAAGGGAACTCCCTTCTCCCCTCCATGCTTCCTAGGGGTGAACTCTGTACTGATGCAGTGGACCTACACACACACAGATGGAAAGAATAGAGACAAAGAGGAAAGTCAATGTGACTACAGGGAAGTGTGTGTGTGTGTTTGTGTGGATTGATGTGTGTTACCTGTACAAACACAGAGGCTCTCTTGTTGAGGTCCCAGAGGAATTCGGCAGCGTTGAGCTGAGAGGGGTTGGCCTTCGCCTCCACGATACCCACTGACAGAGGGATGTCTACACACACACACTACAAATTAGCATTACATACAGATACAGAATGAAAAACAAACACACACTTAAGTGTTCTTACCGATATCTAGGAGACGGTCTCCAGGGCGATTCCACTTCCACCCCTCCAGCTGCTGGTGCTCTGTGTACTGGAGTCTCCTGTCATGGAACACCACCCTAACGATGCTCTACACACACCACACAGTTATGAAACACCACCCTCACAATGCTCTAAAAACGACCGCAACAATCATAACACAACCACAAAGAAACCCCACAAACAGAAAGGCTGAAATCTTAACATTTCTGACCTTGACAGTCTTGTTGTTAATCTCTGGTAACTCTGCCAGCTTTCGGTTGTCCAGCATACGGATCTCATAAGACTGGCCTGAGAGACAGAAGGAGAGACAGAGGGGGTTAAGATGAGGTTTGAGTGATTGTGTATCTCTACTGTTTGAAAACAGACAACATCCCTTCTTGCTATTGGTGGGGAGCTATTAAACATTACCGCGTGAGTGTGTGTTTGTGTACAGCATCGTTAAGGTGGTTTCCCATGACAGGAGTGTGTGAGTAAGTCACCTTGGTTCAGGTAGGTGAGTGTCTCATCGTGTAGTTTGACAGCAGGGGAGGTGGCAGCACAGAGAACGTACTGGAAGGGAGGGTTGAGACTGCTGCTCTCACAGTCTGAAGGAAGACTGGAGTCCTCCTGTTTAAAGATGGGCAAGGCAAGCACATCACTGGAGAGACAAAGAGAGATGGCAGGAGAGAGAAGAGTAAGGGTAAGTAAGACTAAGTAGCCCTGTTGAAACAGTAACAGTTGGAATTGTCCCACTGGAAAATACTTTTCTGTTCTACAACACACGAGCCAGTCTGACATAACCTCCACACACACACTTGGCACCAGCTCCAGACAGACTGTCCTCAGCTCACCCCAATGGATCCTAGCGCTAGGCAGAAGTGTGTGTGTGCCCAGGCAACCAAAGTCTCCCCTATATGCCAAGAAATGTGGGCATGCTCCCCGGAACAGCTCAGGTTAATTAAGTTCACTTTGAAAAGGTGGTGGGAGTTGGCAGTCTGAATTCAAAGTTCACATAATGCTCTATGGCCAAGTCAAGCTGTAGAACACCTCCTCTACCTTGAAGTAAAAACTAATAATCTGACAAGATTGGAGAGCTGAACATTTATCACTAAATAGCTTGAATAGCTTCCATTTATAGCAGTGATGTCAGATCAGTGAAAGGGGGAAGACAATATGCATTGAAGGGAGAGAAAGGAGGAGTGAGAAAGGAAACATTTTTGAACTATTGGAACAGACCATAGTGCAAATTACAGGGGGGTCTAAGCCCCCCTGAATGAGAGATGAGTCAAAAATGCAACAAAAGTCAAACTTTGAGGTGTCTCTAAAGCTAATTTAAGCACAAAAGATTATTCCAAATTAAACTAACAACTCCACCGCCATGTCATAGTTTAAACAACAACAAAAAAATCCATGTGGGTGCACTTGTCATCCCGGGAAGATCCCGTATTTCATTTGATATTCTAGTCATTTAGCAGACGCTCTTATCCAGAGCAACTTACAATATTGAGTGCTTATATTTTCATACTTTTTTTACTGGTTCCCTGCGGAAATCGAACCCACAACCCTGGCGTTGCATGCACTATGCTATACCAACTGACCTACAAGTTGGGATTTCATGTGTCCCAACTTTTCTTTCTACAAAAAAGGTCCCTATTGTCAGTAAGACACCAATTAATTAAGGTTACAAGAGTGTAGACCCAATGACAATCGGCAAATGTCATTACACTTTTGGGTGTTTTGTAACAGAGGTCTCATTCCATTAATCAAATGGCGCACATGCAGTTTGGATGCTGGAATTATTTTGCAGTGGATGAACATGCGCATGTAGCCTACTTTTTGAAGTGATTTGTTTGACAATACGATGAAAACGTAATGACTGGCTGTGTTCTTGCCAAAGTAAAAGGTAGGATTTTTAAAAACCGTTAAAACAACATGTCTTTACTGTTAGGCACATAAAAAACTATTGCACGCACAAGCACGTGCACACAAACAAGGTCCCACATAAAAAAAAAAAAAAAAAGAGACCCCCGAATGTCATGGAATAATTCACACTCTGGAACAGACCCCTCTCATTAACACAGCTGCTGCAGACAGTGTCCTGTATTCTCCCTGTCCCACCCTAGCCCAACCCCAATGCCTCCTGCATGGCATGCCAGTCGCAGAGCCGCTGCCCCACTCCGCATTGCTGCCAAGGAAACTGCATCTGCTTCCTGACACACGAGGAGCCGGCTCCACTGACAAACTGAGACATTCTGTTCCTACTGAGCACCACAGCTGCTCTCTAAACATGGGAGACACACACACACAGGGAGGATCCTGATAAGACAGCTGACAGTCCTGGGAACTCTTATCCCACAGAAACATAACCTCCTTCACAAAAACACATCTGTGGGGAAAACACACATGCACACTTAGGGCTGTTGCGGTGACACTGAAGTAAGGGGTGTGTGTGTGTGTGTCTTTTCCTGACTGTTCCATAGTGGATGATCTGACTGGTACAGTTACAAACTCCCCTGAGCATCCCAGCTCATTGCTGCCATAGCAACCCCACAGTTCCACCATGTTGTCATCACTCCGAGACATGCCACTGAGCCACCCAGAGAGAGGTGGTGGGGGAGAGCTTATCCCCACTCCCTCCCTGTGCTTAGGGGGTTTATGTTCCCTACATTCTGCCGCTGCCTCTGTTCCACTCCCCACACACTCCCCCTTTGTGTCTGGTAGGTATTTAAGCCCTCTGTCCTCCGTGGCAACCTGCTGTGATGGCCCCCTCCATCCCAACACACTCCAAAACAAAGACCAACACGCACACTGACACAATACCACACAGAGGGGATGGGATACCACACACACAAAATGTAATTCCTCCGTATTGGGTAAATCCCAGGGTTTAGGAGACAGAGTGGGAACAGTTTGTACCTTCCATCTCATATCCAGACACACTGATATATCTATATTGTATACCAAATGGTCTCTCTAACCTCATACTGTATGCGCCAGCCCCCAGCTCCTGCCCGATGCCCGACAGACTGGCATCGAAGTCGTGTACCAGCCCTGACTCGATGGTGGCATCGTCCATCTTCAGCACCCAGGCCATGGCCCCCAGCTCCTTCTCCTCCGCCTCCAGCCGAAGGGCCGCCAGCTTGCCTCCGGGGAAGGGACCGCAGTTAGCGGGCGAATAAACCGCTGCTGGTGGACTAGAGAAGATTTAAGATAAAGTTAACCAAAGTAGCTAGCTAGGTAGTTGTGTTAGCCACTACTGGCTATCTGCAAGCTACTGGTGGTTGGCTAAGAAGCTTGCTAGTTAGCTGCTATTAGATAACTACTGTAGCTAGCTAATTGAAGATCGAAGAACAGTGAATTGATAGCGCTCCACTAGCCCGATTATATATCGCCATAATTGGCTAGAATATGGCTGACAAGTGAAAGTAGAAATCTGGATTGATGTGAAGCCAACAACCAGACTAACTAGCTAGGTAAAGTTAGCAGATAGACGTTAGCTAGCTAGTTAACAACAGATCCACAACCATTACGACGCGTTGATTACCAGCATGCTAAATAACCCTTTGCTAGCGAAACCCTGCACCACTAGCTACCCAGCTAGCGCTAGTTAGCTCACTTGCGGTCCTCAAAAGTCAATTTCGCCGGCGACATGGCACACCGTCACATCCCAAGCCCAGCCATAGCTAGCCACCTAGTTAGCTAGCAACATTACGTAATTGCAGGGGGGATGTTGTTGACAGTCCACACACAGCATTCACACGCAATGTCCGTCTGAATTAACTAGCTAGCATTAACAGGCTAGTAGCATTAGCAAACTTCACTTGCTTTTGATTCACGGATGTTTGGAATCCTCCTATGCGAAGGTCGTAGCCAGCGCTTCCTGTGCCCTCCGAAATCTCTCTCCTTTTTTCATCGCGGACTTGTGTGACCAGGGCTACAGTTCCCGGCCGGTTAAATAAGACTCTTTAAACATCAGAAGAGTGGCGGTTGTCACAGAAGTAGCAAGCATAAACATGGCTTCTCAACAGACTATGCCCTCACAAAACCAAAAAAAAACTTCCAGCAGCAGGAGATGCCACAAAGTCTCTGGGCCAATCAGAGAGCCGCTCTGGTGCCAAGCGAACCCAGCTCAGCCAATGGGCTCCCTTAGAGCATTCGTCAACCCATCTACGTTATAACACGGATGTGACCAGTTCATACCAGGCACACGCAACCCATCACATACATTGACATAATCATAATACACAAATGCATAATTCAACCGAGACATAAATCAGTGAAAATACTCGGCTACTACAGACTAGCATGTTCACACCCCTCTGCTCCCAGAGAACAGTGTGTTCCTATTATAGAAAAGAGAGGAGTGGATAGATGCAGTGTTGGACCAAGGCCAACAGAAGTGAATTCAGAGGTATTTAGTGGGAATGATTGTAGTGTGTGTGTGAGATTTGGGATGGGGACACAGAGGCTCTTTAGTACACATATGTTGACCCCTAACCCTGTGTAGCGCAGTTGGTAGAGCATGGCGTTTGCAACGCCAGGGTTGTGGGTTCGATTCCCACGGGGGGCCAGTATGAAAATGTATGCACTAACTAACTGTAAGTCGCTCTGGATAAGAGTGTCTGCTAAATGACTAAAATGTAAAACGTGTCTGGATGTCATGCTGTCAGAGGTCAGTGTGCATTTATAGAGAACATAAATCACAGAGGTGAATCTTCACTCCTGCAATAGCAGGATTACCCACCCTTATCTTGAGTTAATAATCAGATAATGTCACATATTAACAACCTGTGAATACAGAAACTGCTATGAACCAATATTGTGTTATTCCAATATCCCATGCCTCACATACAGTGCATTCGGAAAGTATTCAGACCCCTTCACTTTTTCCACATTGTTACGTTACAGCCTTATTCTAAAATGGATTTAAATCTAGACACAATACCCCATAATGACAAAGCAAAAACAGGTTTATAGAAATGTTTGCACATTTATTAAAAATAAAAAACAGAAATATCACATTTACGTAAGTATTCAGACTGTTTACTCAGTACTTTGTAGAAGCACCTTTGGCAGCGATTACAGCCTCAAGTCTTCCTGGGTATGACGCTACAAGCTTGGCACACCTGTATTTGGGGAGTTTCTCCCCTTCTTCTCTGCAGATCCTCTCAAGCTCTGTCAGGTTGGATGGGGAGCGTTGCTGCACAGCTATTTTCAGGTCTCTCCAGAGATGTTCGATCGGGTTCAAGTTCGGGCTCTAGCTGGGTCACTCAAGGACATTCAGAGACTTGTCCCGAAGCCACTCCTGCGTTGTCTTGGCTGTGTGCTTAGGGTTGTTGTCCTGTTGGAAGGTGAACCTTCGCCCCAGTCTGAAGTCATGAGCACTCAAGGAGGTTTTCATCAAGGATCTTTCCCTCGGTCCTAACTAGTCTCCCAGTCCTTGCAGCTGAAGAACATCCCCACAGCATGATGCTGCCACCATTATGCTTCACCGTAGGGATGGTGCCAGGTTTCCTCCAGACATGACGCTTGGCATTCAGGCCAAAGAGTTCAATCTTGGTTTCATCAGACCAGAGAATCTTGTTTCTCATGATCTGAGAGTCCTTTAGGTGCCTTTTGGCAAACTCCAAGCGGGCTGTCATGTGCCTTTTACTGAGGAGTGGCTTCTGTCTGGCCACTCTACCATAAAGGCCTGATTGGTGGACTGCTGCAGAGATGGTTGTCCTGGAAGGTTCTCCCATCTCCACAGAGGAACTCTGGAGCTCTGTCAGAGTGACCATCGGGTTCTTGGTCACCTCCCTGACCAAGGTCCTTCTCCCCCGATTGCTCAGTTTGGCAGGGCGTCCAGCGCTAGGTAGAGTCTTGGTGGTTCCAAGCTTCCTCCATTTTGGTACCCTTCCCCAGATCTGTGCCTCGACACAATCCTGTCTCGGAGCTCTACGGACAATTCCTTCGACCTCATGGCTTGGTTTTTGCTCCGACATGCACTGTCAACTGTGGGACCTTATAGACAGGTGTGTGCCTTTCCAAATCATGTCCAATCAATTGAATTAACCACAGGTGGACTCCAATCAAGTTGTAGAAACATCAAGGATGATCAATGGAAACAGGATGCACCTGAGCTCAATTTCGAGTCTCATAGCAAAGGGTCTGAATACTTATGTAAATAAGGTATGTTTTTGTTATTTTGAATAAATTTGCTAACATTTCTAAAAACCAGTTTTCGCTTTGTCATTATGGGGTATTGTGTGTAAATTGATGAGGAAAAAAACATATTTAATCAATTTTAGAATACGGATGTAACGTAACAAAATGTGGAAAAAGGGAAGGGGTCTGAATACTTTCCAAATGCACTGTATTATCATTGTACTGGATTAAAATAAACAAGAGAATTCCATGAAGTTCGAGAGGAAATGTGAAAGGGTCCAAGGGACACCACACACTAGGGCCTGATTCACATTAAAGGGACGACCCAAACTGTTCCCTGCTGCCTTAGATATTTTCTTTTCACATTGTCTTTCCAGGACAGTTCCAGTAACTATGGTGGATGCATAACCAAGCCAGCCCAGTACAGTTTGGTTCTGGCCCTATGGTGTGAATCAGTCATATGCGTCCGGTCCTAATGGTCCTACCGCCTGTGGCTGGAGATGCAGATGGTCCAGGGTGGCTCGGCGGAGGGACAGAAGTCCTCGGCGTATGACTGCCAGAACATTAGTCAGCCAGTTCCTGAATCCCAGTGCCAAACACTCACCCACCCACTCACTCACACTACCATACTACAACTACCAGCTTCTGCTACTACAGCCTACTACTGAAGTTACCTCTCCCAACCACACATTCAGAGCCTAATACTAGGTTATAGTTCAGCTTCAGGTAGACTATATATTCTGCAGCTTTCAAGTTTAGACACATTCACACACACTGTCCAGCAGAAGTATCTTCCCTGTGCTGTGCTCTGGTCAATAATTACCAATTGATTCCAGTCAGTGTGCAAGGGGTAGGACTTGGGTTAATTGTAGAACGTGTGTGTGTGTGTGTGTGTGTGTGTGTTAGCAGAACGGTTGTCCCTCACAGTAAGTGAGACAGAAACCATGTTTATTATGGTCTGTACAAGTTTGCTTTATTTGTCATTTTATTGTAAGCACAGCTTTGTAAATGCACTGAGGGAAACAACACAGTGAAAACTAGAATGTCACAAGAAGAGGGAGAGAATGACACAACAAGAGGAAGAGGAAGAGGAAGAAGAGGAGGAGGGGGTGAAAGGTGACTTGACAGTTTCTCAGATCAGAAAATTAATACATGTCTCCCCGAAGAGAAACCAACGTGAGAGACTAGGGCACGCGCAACAGAAAATAAAACAGATCAGGACGCAGAGCGCACACGCCCTTTAGGGACTCTCCTTAATGACGTCGTTATCGGATATTATTCCATTTTTTATAATATCATGTATAGATATATATCCACTAGGTGATAATAATAATAAGCCATGTCTGGTCATATTTTGATGTATATAAGCATTTCCCCCTCTTTCTGTTTGAAATGAGCTCATCGAAGACATGGCGGGAGCAGTGGAAGGTACCATGGAGTTCTCTGAAAGGGGCGGACATCATTAACTTAAATTTCACCCCCTCCCTTCTACAGTGACAGTTAATAGGTTCCGGATAAAAATATATTGTTAAAATCATCGTCATGCATAGCCAAGCACATTACGCCTCCTATACCTCACACTCACTGCCTACGTAGCTGCTAAGAGCAGTTATGATCTACTGTGACCCGCTTATGAGGGCTTATGAGCGTTAGTGCTGTGCAGGGAAGGTCGTACCATGTTCCCACTGCCACAGGGTGGAACCAGCACCATTCGACGGACAGAGAATGCTTAGAGCCGAAATTGCACCCTACTCCTTATAGTTTGACCAGAGCCATATGTGGTGGCACTATGTAGCTCTGGCCAAAAGTAGTCCACTACGTAGGGATTAGGGTGCCATTTCAGATTTGCCTTTAGAGTTTCAGGGGCTAAAACACACTCAACCACTATGACGAACAGGCTGACTGACCACAGATATACACCCCCCTCCACACACACACACACACACACACACGTGCTCCTCTACCCACTTCCCTCCCTCTATCTATTCGTCCTGGCTGGGGTGTGTGGCTACATCATGCTGCTGTTCGGGCCCCTCCCCTATTCTACTCAAAGCAGGAAGTTAAACCGTTAGCGTTGAGGCTTCAGAGTGAGTTCGGGGTCAGAGGGCGAGGTGTGTCGAGGTCAGGGGTGAATCTCAGAGTGCAGGTTGGATCTTCAACGTTAGTGAGGGGAACTACAACACTCCTCTCCTCCCAGAGTGCATTGCAGAGTGCACTGCAGTAGGCGACTTGGAGGTAATGGGAGGGTGTGTCCAGGACAGTGTGTGTGTCTCAGAGAGCCTTCTTATCAGCATGTTTATGTGTAAGCAGATGTACGTATAAGCGTATGTGTGTTCATGTAAGCGCGTAAGTAAGTGCACATGTGTGTTCATGTATGCATATGAGTGTGTGTTTGTGCATCCATGTAAGAGTGTGTCCTTGTGTGTACGTGTTAAAAGTCTCCAGAGGGAGAGTGCAGCTCCATAGTTGTCCTGTGGGCTGTTCATCTGTTAGTCTGTTCTATAGGTTGTCTGCTGGGGGCTCACCACCACTGGAGCCGGACTGGGCACGCTTGATGTACAGATTCAACAACTTCAACTTTAGAGAGAGAGAGAAGAGAGGCGGAAGAGAGTTACAGGGTTGTAGAACTGAAGCAGTTTTTCTGGAATCTTCCTGATCCAGTAATATAAAATGTACTGATTAATTTAAGAATGAAGTATGCTAGCGTGGATGTATTGGAACATAGATAATGGGTGTGGTTAGTAGAAAGTGGGCGTGGTCACTCACTTTGCTTCCAGACAGTTGGTTGAGGTGAGGTTTTAGCTCCTCCCCTATGACTGCGTAGAGGGCCACCAGACAGAATACACAGGCCTTCCTCACACTGCTCTCAGAGTTGTCATAACCCTGCATAACATGACATGTGGGTTATATCCCTGATTAACATGACAGAGGGGTTATTATCCCTGCATAAAATGATAGAGGGGTTATCACCCTTTATTACATGACAGAAGGGTTATAGCCCTCCATAACATGACAGTGGGTCATAACCCTGAATAACGAGGATGTGTGCTACCTTTATGTGTGTGTGTGACCTGTACGAGTGTGTGTGTGACCTGTACGAGTGTGTGTGTGACCTGTACGAGTGTGTGTGTGACCTGTACGAGTGTGTGTGTGACCTGTACGAGTGTGTGTGTGTGTGTATGACCTGTACGAGTGTGTGTGTGTGTGTGACCTGTACAAGTGTGTGTGTGTGTGTGTGACCTGTACAAGTGTGTGTGTGTGTGTGTGACCTGTACAAGTGTGTGTGTGTGTGTGTGTGACCTGTACAAGTGTGTGTGTGTGTGTGACCTGTACAAGTGTGTGTGTGTGTGTGTGACCTGTACAAGTGTGTGTGTGTGTGTGACCTGTACAAGTGTGTGTGTGTGTGTGACCTGTACAGGTGTGTGTGTGTGTGTGACCTGTACAGGGTGTGTGTGTGTACGAGTGTGTGACCTGTACGAGTGTGGTGTGTAGTGTGTGACCTTGGTAGGGACGAGGTGTGTGTGTGTGTGTGTGACCTGTACGAGGTGTGTGGGACCTGGTGTGTGTGTGACCTGTACGAGGTGTGTGTTGTGTGACCTGTGCGAGTGTGTGCGAGTGTGTGACCTGTACGAGTGTGTGTGTGTGTGTGACCTGTACGAGTGTGTGTGTGTGTGTGACCTGTACGAGTGTGTGTGTGTGTGTGACCTGTGCGAGTGTGTGCGGTGTGTGACCTGTACGAGTGTGTGGCGTGTGTGACCTGTACGAGTGTGTGCGTGTGTGACCTGTACGAGTGTGTGTGTGTGTGACCTGTACGAGGTGTGTTGTGACTGTACGAGTTGTGTGACCTTTACGAGTGTGTGTGGTGTGACCTGTAGAGTGTGTGGTGTGACCTGTACGAGTGTGTGTGACCTTACGAGTGTGTGTGTGACCTGTACGAGTGTGTGTGTGTGACCTGTACGAGGTTGTGTTGGTTTTGACCTGTAACGAGTGTGTGGTGTGACCTGTACGAGTGTGTGTGTGTGACCTGTACGAGTGTGTGTGTGTGACCTGTACGAGTGTGTGTGTGTGACCTGTACGAGTGTGGTGTGTGTGACCTGTACGAGTGTGTGTGTGTGACCTGTACGAGTGTGTGTGTGTGGTGTGACCTGTACGAGTTGTGTGTGTGTGACCTGTACGAGTGTGTGTGTGTGTGACCTGTACGAGTGTGTGTGTGTGACCTGTACGGGTGTGTGCGAGTGTGTGTGACCTGTACGAGTGTGTTGTGTGTGACCTGTACGATGTGTGTGACCGTAGAGTGTGTGTGTGACCTGTACGAGTGTGTGGTGTGTGAGACCTGTACGAGTGTGTGTGTGACCTGTATGAGAGTGTGTGTGTGTGTGTGTGTGACCTATACGAGTGTGTGTGTGACCTGTACGAGTGTGTGTGTGACCTGTACGAGTGTGTTTGTTACCTGTATGAGTCCGGGGACTATCTCAGGCAGCATGCTGACTAGTCCATCGTGGGGGACCCGCTCTATAACTTTAGTCTGCATCTTGATGGCAGCCAGGTTGATGGGGTAGTCAGCTGACTGGATGATGGGACACAACACCTTGATACACTGGTCTGGACTGATGGACGACGCCAGCATGGCTGCAGTCTCCTCTGCCGCTCGCACCACCTACACAGGAACAGGGTTATAGTACCAGATTTATAATAGCTCCTATACACACACAGGAACGACAGTGGGAGAGTGAATGTATGTGTATGTGTGTGTGTGTATGTGAATGTGAGAGATTATACCAGTGTAAATTTGTGCATGTGCAAGAGATTATATGGAGTGTGTGTATTATAAGGAGTGTGTGTGTGTACTTGTGTGTGCTATACAGAGAGAGAGTGTGTGTGTGTACCTCTTTCTGTGGGTCCTTGTGTGCCTCCAGGGCCTTCATGATGGTGAGTTCAGCATAGTTCTTAAACCTCCAGGGCTGGCGGTTCAGAATCTCCCTTAGAACACGCAGAGCTAATGCCCTAATCACATGCTGCAGAGGAGGGGAGAGAGAGTTTGGTCAAAGTGTGTTTGTATATGTATTGATGCACATAGTGTGTGTGTGTGTGTGTGTGTACCTCTCTGTCCCCCAGCGTCTCCAGTAGTAACAGGAGGATGGTTTTGAAGTGTTCATCCCAGGAGACCTGCAGGGTGTTTCCACGAATCAGCTTCAAGAGCTCACAAAGCGCTGCCTTCCTCTCCTCCACACGCTCATTGTGATTGGACAGCTCCTTCAACAGCTCAGACACTAGCTCCGATTGGTCAATGCTGCTGTCTGTCAGGGGCAATAGCCAATAGGGGTTGAGATACAGATACTGATTGACATCAATTTATCAATCACATATTACACTTCAATACATTTTGTGTGTGTGTGTGTGTGTGTGTGTGTGTTAGTGTAAATGAATATACAATACCAGTCAAAAGTTTGGACAAACCTACTCAATCAAGGGTTTTTCTTTATTTTTACTATTTTCTACATTGTAGAATAATAGTGAAGACATCAAAACTATGGAATAACACATATGGAATCACGTAGGAACCAAAAAAGTGTTAAACAAACAAAAACAAAAAAGTAGCCACCCTTTGCCTTGATGACAGCTTTGCACAATCTTGGCATTCTCTCAACCAGCTTCACCTGGAATGTTTTTCCAACAGTCTTGAAGGAGTTCCCACATATGCTGAGCACTTGTTGGCTGCTATTCCTTCACTCTGTGGTCCAACTCATCCCATACCATCTCAATTGGGTTGAGGTCGGGGGATTGTGGAGGCCAGGTCATCTGATGCAGCCATCCATCACTCTCCTTCTTGGTCAAATAGCCCTTACACAGCCTGGAGGTGTGTTGGGTCATTGTCCTGTTGAAAAACAAATGATAGTCCCACTAAGCGCAAAACAGATGGGATGGCGTATCGCTGCAGAATTCTGTGGTAGCCATGCTGGTTAAGTGTGCCTTGAATTCTAAATAAATCACAGACAGTGTCACCAGCAAAGCACCCCCACACCATCACACCTCCTCCTCCATGCTTCACGGTGGGAACCACACATGAGGAGATAATCTGTTCACCTACTCTGCGTCTCACAAAGACACGGCGGTTGGAACCAAAAATCTCAAATTTGGAATCATCAGACCAAAGGACAGATTTCCACCAGTTTCTTGGCCCAAGCAAGTCTCTTCTTCTTATTGGTGTCCTTTAGTCGTGTTTTCTTTGCAGCAATTCGACCATGAAGGCCTGATTCACACAGTCCCCTCTGAACAGTTGATGTTGAGATGTGTCTGTCACTTGAACTCTGTGAAGCATTTATTTGGGCTGCAATTTCTGAGGCTGGTAACTCTAATGAACTTATCCTCTGCAGCAGAGGTGACTCTGGGTCTTCCTTTACTGTGGCGGTCCTCATGAGAGTCAGTTTCATCATAGCGCTTGATGGTTTTTACGACTGCACTTGAAGAAACTTTCAAAGTTCTTGAAATGTTCCAGATTGACTGACCTTCATGTCTTAAAGTAATGATGGACTGTCATTTCTCTTTGCTTATTTGAGCTGTTCTTGCCATAATATAGACTTGGTCTTTTACCAAATAGGGCTATCTTGTGTATACCACCCCTAACTTGTCACAACACAACTGACTGACACAACTCAAGGCAAAGGGTGGCTACTTTGAAGAATCTCAAATATAATATATATATTTTTGAACACTTTTTTGGTTACTACATGATTCCATATGTTTTATTTCATAGTTTTGATGTCTTCACTATTATTCTACAATGTAGAAAATAGTAAAAATAAAGAAAAATCCTAGAATGAGTAGGTGTGTCCAAACGTTTGGCTGGTACTGTATGTGTGTTTGTGTGTACCGTCAGTTTGCTGGTCTGATTCATCTAGTGAAGTATCTATCACGCTGTGTTTGAAGGGGGAGTCTGTGAAGGGGTCACGGGACCCCCGGGGAGAAGAGGAGAGCAGGGGGGTGTTGAGGAGAGACGTCTTGTTGTCCAGAGCAGTACGACCTCCATCCACCTGGTCAGCACCAGCAGTACCACCCTGAGGGAGGGGAAGAGAGGGGGAGAGAGGGAGAGGGAGACACACACAGGGGTTAGTGTGGTATGATTTAGACAGACGTAGACAGAAATGTAAGTGTTGTCATCGCATGCACGTGTGTGTGGGTTAGGTTAGGATTTTGATCATTCTGTGGATGCAGTGAGTAGAGATATGAGATCTGTTACAGTTCCTGTTAAGATTTCCACTCAAACCAGAAAACCCCCTGACGGGTCAGGTGATGGAGTCAGTTGAGCTCTGATTGGCAGGTTGATGATTGTGGGGGGGGGGGGGGGGGGGGGGTTGGGGGGGGGGTGGTCAGGTTTCAGACTGACCTATAGAGGAAATGTCAGCTTGGGCATAGCCCTTCCTTGGAACATACCATGGACAGGAGTGTTACAATAAATAACATCTCACATACTGTACACACTCGGACACACACACTACGATACTCCCATCACAACCTACACTATATATACAAAAGTATATGGACACCCCTTCAAATTAGTGGATTCGGCTATTTCAGCCACACCCGTTGCTGACAGGTGTATAACATCGAGCACACAGCCATGCAATCTCCATAGTCAAACATTGGCAGCAGAATGGCCTTACTGAAGAGCTCAGTGACTTTCAAAGTGGCACCGTCATAGGATGCCACCTTTCCAACAAGTCAGTTCGTCAAATTTCTGCCCTGCTAGAGCTGCCCCGGTGAACTGTAAGTGCTGTTATTGTGAAGTGGAAACGCCTAGGAGCAATAACGGCTCAGCCGCGAAGTGGAAGGCCACACAAGCTCACAGAACTGGACCGCCGAGTGCTGAAGCGCGTAGCTTCACAAGCTCCCAACACTCACCACCGAGTTCCAAACTGCCTCTGGAAGCAACGTCAGCACAAGAACTGTTCGTTGGGAGCTTCATGAAATGGGTTTCCATGGCCGAGCAGCCGCACACAAGCCTAAGATCACCATGTGCAATGCCAAGCGTCGGCTGGAATGGTGTAAAGCTCGCTGCCATTGGACTCTGGAGCAGTGGGAACGCGTTCTCTGGAGTGATGAATCCCGCTTCACCATCTGGCAGTCCGATGGACGAATCTGGGTTTGGCGGATGCCAGGAGAACGCTACCTGCTCCAATGCATAGTGCCAACTGTAAAGTTTGGTGGAAGAGGAATAATGGTCTGGGGCTGTTTTTCATGGTTCGGGCTAGGCCCCTTAGTTCCAGTGAAGGGAAATCTTAATGCTACAGCATACAATTACATTCTAGATGATTCTGTGCTTCCAACTTTGTGGCAACAGTTTGGGGAAGGCCCTTTCCTGTTTCAGCATGACAATTCTCAGTGCACAAGCGAGGTCCATAAAGAAATGGTTTGTCGAGATTGATGTGGAAGAACTTGACTGGCCTATACAGAGCCCTGACCTCAACCCCATCAAACACCTTTGGGATGAATTGGAATGACGACTGCGAGCCAGGCCTAATTGCCCAACATCAGTGCCCGACCTCACTAATGCTCTTGTGGCTGAATGGAAGCAAGTCCCCGCAGCAATGTTCCAACATCTAGTGGAACGCTTTCCCAGAAGAGTTGAGGCTGTTATAGCAGCAAAGGGGGGACCAACTTGTCGAACAATGAGATGTTCGACGAGCAGGTGTCCACATACTTTTGGTCATGTAGTGTATTTTAACCTGTAAAAATACTGAATGTGGTATTTTTCCCCTGATATTAGCTTACCCCCACCAGATAAAAAAAGCTATTTCCTGTGAAATTCCACATTGTTAGAAAGGTAGGGATGAGATGCTTTGACCCCAGACAGTGTGATAACAGTTAGGGTCAGAAGGTTATGGGTTTCAGTGTCTCACACACACACGCACGCACACATGCTACAGGGGGAGTGGCAGGACATACAGTAGGGAAAAAAAGTATTTAGTCAGCCACCAATTGTGCAAGTTCTCCCACTTAAAAAGATGAGAGAGGCCTGTAATTTTCATCATAGGTACACGTCAACTGTGACAGACAAATTGAGCATTTTTCCCCCAGAAAATCACATTGTAGGATTTTAATGAATTTATTTGCAAATTATGGTGGAAAATAAGTATTTGGTCACCTACAAACAAGCAAGATTTCTGGCTCTCACAGACCTGTAACTTCTTTAAGAGGCTCCTCTGTCCTCCACTCGTTACCTGTATTAATGGTACCTGTTTGAACTTGTTATCAGTATAAAAGACACCTGTCCACAACCTCAAACAGTCACACTCCGAACTCCACTATGGCCAAGACCAAAGAGCTGTCAAAGGACACCAGAAACAAAATTGTAGACCTGCACCAGGCTGGGAAGACTGAATCTGCAATAGGTAAGCAGCTTGGTTTGAAGATATCAACTGTGGGAGCAATTATTAGGAAATGGAAGACATACAAGACCACTGATAATCTCCCTCGATCTGGGGCTCCACGCAAGATCTCACCCCGTGGGGTCAAAATGATCACAAGAACGGTGAGCAAAAATCCCAGAACCACACGGGGTGACCTAGTGAATGACCTGCAGAGAGCTGGGACCAAAGTAACAAAGCCTACCATCAGTAACACACTATGCCGCCAGGGACTCAAATCCTGCAGTGCCAGACGTGTCCCCCTGCTTAAGCCAGTACATGTCCAGGCCCGTCTGAAGTTTGCTAGAGTGTATTTGGATGATCCAGAAGAGGACTGGGAGAATGTCATATGGTCAGATGAAACCAAAATAGAACCTTTTGGTAAAAACTCAACTTGTCGTGTTTGGAGGACAAAGAATGCTGAGTTGCATCCAAACACCATACCTACTGTGAAGCATGGGGGTGGAAACATAATGCTTTGGGGCTGTTTTTCTGCAATGGGACCAGGACGACTGATCCGTGTAAAGGAAATAATGAATGGGGCCATGTATCGTGAGATTTTGAGTGAAAACCTCCTTCCATCAGCAAGGGCATTGAAGATGAAACGTGGCTGGGTCTTTCAGCATGACAATGATCCCAAACACACCGCCCGGGCAACAAAGGAGTGGCTTCGTAAGAAGCATTTCAAGGTCCTGGAGTGGCCTAGCCAGTCTCCAGATCTCAACCCCATAGAAAATCTTTGGAGGGAGTTGAAAGTCCGTGTTGCCCAGCGACAGCCCCAAAACATCACTGCTCTAGAGGAGATCTGCATGGAGAAATGGGCCAAAATACCAGCAACAGTGTGTGAAAACCTTGTGAAGACATACAGAAAACGTTTGACCTGTGTCATTGCCAACAAAGGGTATATAAAAAAGTATTGAGAAACTTTTGTTATTGACCAAATACTTATTTTCCACCATAATTTGCAAATAAATTCATAAAAAAATCCTACAATGTGATTTTCTGGATTTTTTTCTCTCATTTTGTCTGTCATAGTTGACGTATACCTATGATGAAAATTACAGGCCTCTCTCATCTTTTTAAGTGGGAGAACTTGCACAATTGGTGGCTGACTAAATACTTTTTTTTCCCCACTGTATCTGGTGTCAGGGACATACTGTGTATGTGTGTGTGGGGTTGTGTATGTGGAGGCTTAACCCCCCCCAGAATCCACCTGACAGACTATAAATAATCATTTCTAAGACACATCCCATCATGTCGGTTCTACATACACACACACATACTCTCTCTCTCCCCACCTCCTCTCCTTCTCTCCGTCTGACCGGTTCATTCATGTCTTCCTGGCTACGGACGGAGAAGTTCTGGATGGCCTCTGTAACTCCTCTCAGACTACTGTAGATGTCCTCTGAGTTCATGTTCTCTGTGTCGTATTCAAACGCACTGCACACAACAACACATCAGTCATATTACCATCACAATAGGTCAACATTATATGAGTGTGTGGGTGTGTGTGTTACCTAGGTGTGTTCTGAGGTCTGTGTGTGTTACCTGAATGTGGATGAACTTTGGGAGGTGTTTGTGAGTGTTACCTTGGGTAAGGGTGTTGGAGGTGTGTGTTTGTGTAACCTGGGTCTGCGTGTACATTGGGTGGTGTGTGTGTGTGTTACCTGGGTAAGGATGTGTTCTGTGATGTGTTGGTAGGAGAGGTGAGGGGGCTGGACCAGCTGGCAGGAGAGCGGGGGGTGTGGCGTGTCAGAGGGCTTCCTATCGGGGCCTGGGGGAGAGAGTAACACATAATAGCATCAATTCCTCAAGTACATACTAGGGCCTTTTAGTTTCCCACTGTTTTCTCGGGCCTGATCAGTTCTTATACGTCTATAACCAACTCCTAAGATCCTTCATCAGGCCAAGCTGGGAGGGGTACAGCCAAGGCCAGGTGTATTTACCTGCTGGGAGGGGTACAGCCAAGGCCAGGTGTAGTTACCTGCTGGGAGGGGTACAGCCAAGGCCAGGTGTATTTACCTGCTGGGAGGGGTACAGCCAAGGCCAGGTGTAGTTACCTGCTGGGAGGGGTACAGCCAAGGCCAGGTGTAGTTACCTGCTGGGAGGGGTACAGCCAAGGCCAGGTGTAGTTACCTGCTGGGAGGGGTACAGCCAAGGCCAGGTGTAGTTACCTGCTGGGAGGGGTACAGCCAAGGCCAGGTGTAGTTACCTGCTGGGAGGGGTACAGCCAAGGCCAGGTGTAGTTACCTGCTGGGAGGGGTACAGCCAAGGCCAGGTGTAGTTACCTGCTGGGAGGGGTACAGCCAAGGCCAGGTGTAGTTACCTGCTGGGAGGGGTACAGCCAAGGCCAGGTGTAGTTACCTGCTGGGAGGGGTACAGCCAAGGCCAGGTGTAGTTACCTGCTGGGAGGGGTACAGCCAAGGCCAGGTGTAGTTACCTGCTGGGAGGGGTACAGCCAAGGCCAGGTGTAGTTACCTGCTGGGAGGGGTACAGCCAAGGCCAGGTGTAGTTACCTGCTGGGAGGGGTACAGCCAAGGCCAGGTGTAGTTACCTGCTGGGAGGGGTACAGCCAAGGCCAGGTGTATTTACCTGCTGGGAGGGGTACAGCCAAGGCCAGGTGTAGTTACCTGCTGGGAGGGGTACAGCCAAGGCCAGGTGTAATTACCTGTGCAGCGTTGCCTGTGTTCCTCAGGTGGTTCTGTAGCAGTTTGGTGGCGCCATCCTGGAAGGTCTTGGGCAGAGCTGCCAGCAGCATGGTGAACTCTGGAGTGTTCAACTGGAACAACGAGATCAACACTGACTGGGCAGCCTGGAACACACACACACACACACACACACACACACACACACACACACACACACATCAGAAACCAATCAAAGTTTGCTTCAACCAATAATCAACTAATTGCAGCATACAGAAATGTGTGTACAGTACCTTCCTGACGTCGGAGCTCTTGGGCTCTGTGGTCCAGGTGATGATGCGAGACACAGCCAGGCGCGTCTCACTGGAGTTGACAAAGTCCTGAGGCTCCATCTGCAGGGTCAAGGTCTCAATGTACTTCAGAATGGCCACCTTCACCTGGACACAACATACACACAGAGACACACACACATTCATAGTATAAAGGTTAGACAACCCACTCATACACACACACAAACATTTTCTGTCTGTGTGGATCATGGATCATCCCAGGAGTTTCCTAACTCTGGGCTGAAACTAGTTCTAGTTAGAGCCAGTTCAAGTTTGAGCTACTCAGCGATACAAAGTAAACATCCGCAACAACAAAGAGGGTGCAGTAAGATGCTAATCTCCTTCGCAGTTGTAGTCACGCAGCTATCATGGGGGGGAGAAACCAATAAAGACAAATGAGAACTAGAGGAAAAAGAGCCACCATTCACATTCGTTCTTCGTTCTCACATTAGTTATTCTCTTTTACAGTATTTTCATTCCTTTAAATGTATTTTTTCTCTCTCCATCTCTCAGTCTCACTCTTCCTCTATTAAAAACACCTCATCGACCGACCGCCTGCTCCTCAATGTGCGCGTCATAAAAATGCTCCCCCCTGAGCGCACTGACCTGGGAAGATTGGTTCCAGGCTGAGACCTGCTCGTTCAGAGAGCAGCAGGCGTGGTGCCACCTGGGGGCTCTCGTGGCAGGGGGGAGCAATTTAACGTTGCGCCGCATGGTTCTTGAAGCAGGGGGAATCAATTTAACGTTGCGCCGCCCACAACACGTTCCCCTCCTCCCCACAGGCTTAGAGAGAGAGAGGAGAGGAGAGCACCGCATCAGAGAGAGAGGGAGGGGGGCGTGGGAGGGGAGAGATAGGGGGGGGGGGGGGAGAGGCGGGGGGAGGGAGAGAGGAAGTTGGGGGAGAAGAGGGAGAAAGGGAGAGGAAGGTTGGGAGAGAGAGAGAGAGAGTTTGAGATGGAGAAGTTGAGGGAAGGGTAGCGAATGGGAGGAGAGGTAGAGGAGGGGAGGAAGGGAGAGGAGGGGATGAGGGGGGAGGAGGGGAGGGAAGGGGAAGAGGAGGGGAGGAAGGGAGAGAGGAGGGGAGAAAGGGGAGAGGAGGGGAGGAAGGGTAGAGAGGGGAGAGGAAGGGTAGAGGAGGGGAGGAAGGGGAGAGGAGGGGAGGAAGGGTAGAGGAGGGGAGGAAGGGTAGAGGAGGGGAGGAAGGGTAGAGAGGAGAGGGGAGGAAGGGGAGGAAGGGGAGAGGAGGGGAAGGAAGGGTAGAGGAGGGGAGGAAGGGTAGAGGAGGGGAGGAAGGGTAGAGGAGGGGAGGAAGGGGTGAAAGGGGAGAGGAGGGGAGGAAGGGTAGAGGAGGGGAGGAAGGGTAGAGGAGGGGAGGAAGGGGAGAGGAGGGGAGGAAGGGGAGAGGAGGGGAGGAAGGGAGGAGGCAGGGGAGAGGAGGGGAAGGAGGGGGAGAGGAGGGGAAGAAAGGGGAGATAGGGGGAGGGAGGAAGAGGATGTAGGGGAGGGAGATAGGGATGGAGAGAGGAGGCAAGACAGACAGACGGACACACACGGAGACAGGGAGCAAGTGCATAGAGCAACGAGGAAGAGGGGAGTGAGGGAGGATGGGAGAATAACAAGGGATGAGAGGAGTGAAAACGACATAAGAAAATTGAGAGAAGGAAAAGCAAGGGAAGGTGAGGTGAAGAGTGAACGAGGGAGGAGAAGATGGAGGAAGGGGATGTAATGAAAGTGAAGGATGGAGGTGGGGGAGGGGAGGGGAAAGGGGAGAGGAAAGGGAGGGAGCAAACAAGTGTATAAAGGGAAACACAAGGAGAGAGGAGGGAGGAGAAGATGGAGGAAGAGGGAGGGGAGAGGATAGAGGGAGGCAGCGAGGAAGGGGAGGTGAGGCGGGCTCAGACTGCAGAGAGCAAAGCCTGTGGTTGGCGGATTTAATTGGAGGCATATCAGTCGCTATCCAATCAGAGTCCAGGGATTGGGTGGGTAGGGAGCGGAGCCAGTGTTAAACAGCCGTGAGGTCAGAAAAGTGGTTACCATGGTTACTGATACAATAGTTACCGTGGTTACTGAGACAGTTGGTGAGTCTGGCGACTGAGAGGCTGTCCCTGTCTTTCAACCCTCCCTACATCCCTTTCACTCTCCCTTCCTCTTCTCTCATTGTCTCTTCTCACTCTGTCCATCGCTTTCTTCATATATAGAACACACACACACACACATAAAACATCTACCCCCCTACACAGACACAGACACACACACACAGCTGTGTACCTTGAGGTTGGGTGTCTGAGTCTGGTCCACAGTGAACCTCATGAGGATAGTGAACTGGAGGTCATTGGGGAAAGACTCTCTGTAGGGGAGATAACACCACACACACACACGTTATAGATACACACATTACAGACACACACACACGTAAGATATACGCACACACAAACTGTACAAACACACACGTTATACACACACACACTGACCGTGTGATGTCCAGTGCTCTCTGGACCTTGGCCTGTACTGATCCCAGTAGGTCAGCTCCCATCTTCTTCAGCAGCTGGGTGAGCAGGACGAACAGCCAGTCCTGCAGGTCTTCTTTATGCACCAGGACAAAGTCCACTAGGGTCTCTAAGAACATACTGAACACCTGGGGAGAGACAGGGGACATTAGTTACACACACACACACTACAGTGAGGGAAAAAAGTATTTGATCCCCTGCTGATTTTGTATGTTTGCCCACGGACAAAAAAATGACCAGTCTATAATTTTAATGGTAGGTTTATTTGAACAGTGAGAGACAGAATAACAACAACAAAATCCAGAGAAACGCATGTCAAAAATGTTATAAATTGATTTGCATTTTAATGAGGGAAATAAGTATTTGACCCCCTCTCAATCAGAAAGATTTCTGGCTCCCAGGTGTCTTTTATACAGGTAACGAGCTGAGATTAGGAGCACACTCTTAAAGGGAGTGCTCATAATCTCAGTTTGTTACCTGTATAAAAGACACCTGTCCACAGAAGCAATCAATCAGATTCCAAACTCTCCACCATGGCCAAGACCAAAGAGCTCTCCAAGGATGTCAGGGACAAGATTGTAGACCTACACAAGGCTGGAATGGGCTACAAGACCATCGCCAAGCAGCTTGGTGAGAAGGTGACAACAGTTGGTGCGATTATTCGCAAATGGAAGAAACACAAAAGAACTGTCAATCTCCCTCGGCCTGGGGCTCCATGCAAGATCTCACCTCGTGGAGTTGTAATGATCATGAGAACGGTGAGGAATCAGTCCAGAACTACACGGGAGGATCTTGTCAATGATCTCAAGGCAGCTGGGACCATAGTCACCAAGAAAACAATTGGTAACACACTACGCCGTGAAGGACTGAAATCCTGCAGCGCCCGCAAGGTCCCCCTGCTCAAGAAAACACATATACAGGCCCGTCTGAAGTTTGCCAATGAACATCTGAATGATTCAGAGGAGAACTGGGTGAAAGTGTTGTGGTTACATGAGACCGAAATCGAGCTCTTTGGCATCAACTTGCCTATGACCCCAAGAACACCATCCACACTGTCAAACATGGAGGTGGAAACATTATGCTTTGGGGGTGTTTTTCTGCTAAGGGGACAGGACAACTTCACCGCATCAAAGGGACGATGGACGGGGCCATGTACCGTCAAATCTTGGGTGAGAACCTCCTTCCCTCAGCCAGGGCATTGAAAATGGGTCGTGGATGGGTATTCCAGCATGACAATGACCCAAAACACACGGCCAACGCAACAAAGGAGTGGCTCAAGAAGAAGCACATTAAGGTCCTGGAGTGGCCTAGCCAGTCTCCAGACCTTAATCCCATAGAACATCTGTGGAGGGAGCTGAAGGTTCGAGTTGCCAAACGTCAGGCTCGAAACCTTAATGACTTGGAGAAGATCTGCAAAGAGGAGTGGGACAAAATCCCTCCTGAGATGCGTGCAAACCTGGGGCTAACTACAAGAAATGTCTGACCTCTGTGATTGCCAACAAGGGTTTTGCCACCAAGTACTAAGTCATGTTTTGCAGAGGAGTCAAATACTTATTTCCCTCATTAAAATGCTAATCAATTTATAACATTTTTGACATGCGTTTTTCTGGATTTTTGTTTTGTTATTCTGTCTCTCACTGTTCAAATAAACCTACCATTAAAATTATAGACTGATCATGTCTTTGTCAGTGGGCAAACGTACAAAATCAGCAGGGGATCAAATACTTTTTTCCCCTCACTGTATATAAACACACACACTCATGTACACACGCACAAATAAACACACACTTAGAAGAGACAGAGGAACATTTTCATGCACACAAACATGAGTGACACACACAGGTACTATGGGATAGTCTGAGGGAAGCAACTCCATTCACTTATCAATTAACCAAATCAACCAACCAACCAACCACTCACTCACTCCAGTCAGCGTGCAGCAAGCAGAATGATGTTTTACCAATACACAATCAATATTCAGTATTCACTAAACACACATGCTGATTGGCTGTCACCTGCAAAACAGCAGGGACTCAGACACCAATCACAGGAGGGCGTGATGATGTCATAGTGACTGCTGTGAGCTATGACATCACCGGGTCGGTTAGTGAGTGAGTCTGTGGTTGCCTTGGAAACCATTAAATTAGCCGCCCAGTCAGTTTACCATTCGCCAGATCAATCAATGAATTCGAGATTAGTCTCCAATCAGAGTACCAGGTTAGTGTCACAACCACACAAGCGTTAATCAAACGTTAATTGAACGTAAAATAAACGTTGTCCAGACTTACTCTCTACAGAGAGTTCCAAAGGAGAGGCATGGAGGAGAGAGAAACATACAACAGTTAGCATCCTGGGAAGCACACACACACACACACACACACACACACACACACGTCCCGGATTTTGGCCCTTTGTCCCTCAACCAAACAATCTTGTCCCGTATTTTATCAACAACTCCAAACACCACAAATGTTCGATTTGTCCTATATTTCAGCCAGACATTCCATCTGGTCTCTTGCAGTCACGTTGCGCTTATGAAAAGATAGGCCTGTATATCATCAGGATGTGGTACTGGTGATGCTAAACTCTTCTCCAATCGTTGTTGAGATCTGATATTCTGCGCAGCGCAAGACGAGATGTAGGCCAATGTCATGGCCTATCGTCAACCAATGACATTTTTCAAATCCTTTCGGGCCAAATTCCAGCTAAACTTGGAGGACAGTTAGGCCTTACTACTTACAAAAAGCGTGCTTCTGATGAGGAGCTATAAAAGTAAGTAAATAGCCGTATTAGACTTGTGAGGCTCTCCAGTCTCATTAGTTGCTCATTCAACATATTTGCAGCTACTTCACTCACTCGTTAAAAAAAAAGTATCTCTTCCTAACTATTTTAAATTCCCTGAGACCAACCAGAAATGTTTTCTTGGCTAAATATTCCCAGATTTTCATAAAACAGCCACACGTGGTCTCTTGTTTCTGCATCACCAGATGTTGCGCAAGGAAAAAGAATAGGCTATGTGCGGCTGGTGCGCTTCAATTAGCTAGTTCAGTCCACACTGTCCCGCAAAATCATCCTGTGGTCCCGCATTTGGGTATTTTAAATGTGCTCACCCTAACACACACAGACACAATCATGCACACCCACGCACGCACACACACACACACACACACACACCCTCTCAACACATGCGCTCACAGATATGCGTGCAGTGCACACATGGTGCTTCCCGACTCGGACTGATGTCAGAGTACCTCTGAACTGAAACAGGTGGTATTGTGCATTCATATCAATGTGATACACTGTGAAGACAAGGACTACACTACAGCCCTCTTATAAGAACCACTCCTGGTTCTTATAGGAGTTCCTCTGTCTCTATACACACCAGAGAGAAAAGGGGAGAGAGAGAGAAAGGAGAAAGATAGTCAGAGAGAGAGAAAGAAAGAAGAGGGAGGGAGAAGAGATAGACATTCAGAAAGATAGAGATAGATAAAGAAAGTGGGGAGAAAAGAGAGAGAGAGTGGGGAAGAGAGAAAGAGAGGAGTGTGTGACAGTGAGGTGTACCTTGAAGGAGGCTGAGCTTATACCGGATTCTGCCGTTCCATAGACCCTAGATCCGGATTCTCGCTGAAAGTCACAACCGGTACCGTCAGACGAGGGGCGGGACGGGGGGTTGGGGGCGGCAGGGGGGTGGGTGAGGGGGAGACTCCAAACGCCGGCAGGAAGAGGGGATGGGGAGTGGCGTTAGAGGTGGAGGGGCGAACCGTAGAGGGCGTGGTTAGTGAGAAAGAAAGAGAGGCGGGGGAAGGGGGGGTGCTGCAAAAACAGCAGAAGTGTGTGTGTGTGTTTGCGGTCAGTGTAATCTTATATAGATCACGCAGGGAAGAAGAGGGAAGGAGTTGCAGTGAACGCGGTGAGCACAACCAGCGGATTGGCTAACGAACAGTGCGAGAGCAATCCCATTGGCTAGCGGAGAGTGTGAGGTCACACGCAGACTCAGGCGTGGCATGCCGTTAGAAACCAGTCAGCTACCGCCGCACGCAGCACATGCCTGTGGGTGTGTGTCAGTGTGTATGGGTGTGTGTGTGTGTGTTTGTGTGCATGACTTTTTGTCTGATTCTATGAGTCTCAGTGTGTCTGTGTATATTTGTTTCCATGTGTGAGAATAAATGTGTGTTTGCAGAACCTAGTTTCGTGAGTGTCGTTTCGGCAGAATCCGGTATCCAGTATAAACACAGGTGTGTGTGTGTATATATACTGTATGTGTTTAAGGTGTCTGTGGATTGTGTGTGTGTGTGTGTGTGCATCCATACCTTACTATGGGGGTCTGCAAACATCCTGGTGAAGATCTCACACAACCTCTTCAACTCCACACGACTGTAGACACACACACACACACACACACACACACACACACACACACACACACACACACACACACACACACACACACACACACACACACACACACACACACACACACACACACACACACACACACACACACACACACGATTATAGAAAGTTGAATACACCTATGGTAGCATGTATTGCATTGGATAAACAGCTTCTCTGACTGTTTGAATAGTCCCTGATAGGCTGCCAGGTGAAACCCTGCGTTGTGATAGGCTGCCGGGTGAAACCCTGCGTTGTGATAGGCTGACCTGAGGGTGCGCTGGTTCTTCAGTAGAGCCTGTAGACCCAGTAGCCCTTCCTTCCTCTCCGACCAGTTAGCACTGGCACAGCGGTTCAACACCTGGGACACAAAGGGTTAAAGGACAGATGACAATCTCCTTTTAAACTGGGTGGCAGGTAGCTTAGCGGTTAGAGAGGCAAGCCAGCAACCAGAGGTTTGCAGTCCGATGGTAAAACATCTGGCGGGAAGAGAGCCGGCAACCGGACGGTTGCTGGTGTCGAATCCTAGATGCTGTTATGCCCTTGAGCAATGCACTTAAACCCCCACAACAACTGCTCCATGGGCTCCCAGTGAGGCAGACCCCTGCTCCAACTTGTATGTGTCTCTTTCGGAGGGTTCGGATACAGAAGAAGTCACATTTTGTGTGTGTACAATTGATGAATAATCGTAATCTTAAAATGACTGGAACTATTCAATCTTCAGTCAGGAATCCACATAAGGCATGGGGAAATATGTGAACTGAAGTGCTTGAAATGATTGAAATAAGGGTTAATGTTATTTGCATATGTTGCCATCAATGATGAATCCAAAAACGGTATTGTTTCTGACCTCGGCCACGTCTTCAGTCTGTCTCATGTACGTAGGGATGACTCCTCCGTTCCTGGAGCTATAGGAGCGCTCTGAGCAGGCGCTGGACGCATCACTGTTAGCGTCATCATCCGAATACATCCCATAGTTCTCATAGCGCCGCCGTGCTGGCTTCTTCTACAGGGGGGAGGAGATAAAGAGAGAGAGAGAGAGAGAGAGAGAGAGAGAGAGAGAGAGAGAGAGAGAGAGTGAGAAACATACTTTCCCTTTACGTAACATGTACACATAAAATAACACGTATCAACCGCACGCACACACACACACAGCAGTAGGTAGAGACGCTGACCTTGGATCTCATGTCTCCCAACAGCTGAGAGCGTTAAACAGAGGAGGAACCAGGGGTTAGTCACAACACAACAGTAAGTGTGTGAGAGTGTGTGAGTACAGTGTAAGAGTTTGGATGTGTATATATGAGCCATGATGGATAGAGAGATAGGGAAGGTGAAAGAGGAGTTGCATAAATATTGTCTCAGTGTTTGTGTGTGCGTGTACCAGGGCGTCAGCGAGGGCCTCTTCTACATCAGATCCTGTGTTGAGGACTCTCATGGCGCTGACGGATGAGGACAGACGACTGGACTGACTGATACTGTACCCTGACCCTGGAGAGATGTAGGGTGGAGAGATGTAGGGTGGAGAGAGAGAGAGAGAGAGAGAGAGAGCCCGAGAGACGCACACATTACAGATGCAGTCAAACACACAAAATTGCAATCCCTTTCTCCCACCCTCATCCCATCAGACCTCCTTCCTTCCTCCTTCAATACTTTCCCTCCCTCCCTCCCTATCCCATAACCCCTCTACCCTTAAATACCTCCCCTCCCCATCCCATAAGCCCTCAACCCTTCAATACCCTCCCCCTCCGGCTAGATGGCATGGTGAATAAATAACTAAAATATGACCAAGTGACCCTTGACCCCCAAGAGCTGTGACCTTCCAGGCAAAGCATGATGGGAGTAAACAAACAAACATGGAGGACGCAGTGTGGGGGCGTGTCCGTGTTGATGGGAGGCGGAACTAAAATCAGGAAATAGATGGGTGAGAGAAGAGAGCTACAAATGCCTCCTCTGAAATGGATGGAATGGTTGTCATGGCAACTGAACGGGGTGGAGGAAGCATGCGTTTCTGGCAGAAGCTTGAGGTCCAGGAAGAGAACGAAAAAAATATATAACGGAGGAAGAAAGAGTAGATCTAGAAAACTTTAAAAAGAAAAGATGTATAGAGAACGTAAAATAGAAGGAATCAAGCGGATGGAGGGAGTGAAAGAGACGATAGAGGTACTCATCGTTCACCTGCGGCCCCTAAAGCATCGGCGGTGTGGAGAGCTCCAGTGGAGCGAGAGTAGTGCCGCGACGCTGCAACCATCAACCCCACACACACACACACACACGCACACCGCACACACGGAGAACCACACACAAAACAGCCCCCCACCGTTAGAACTCACTCGCACAGTGTGAGAGAAAGAGAGACCCAGAACCATGCAACAAAATGTCAATGTGTGTGATTAGTAGCCCTAAGAGTCCAGTTCTGCTTCCCTACAGTCTGACAGTATTCAATTTCTGTGGCAAAGACCAGAGTCATCTCAGCTAGCCCAGGCAGTCCAAATGGCTGGGAATAATCTTCCTTAGTGTTGGGAGGCACCGCTTTCTGGTTAAGCGTTCTATAGTGGATTGAATGTCATCCCCAAAATGACAGCACATGTTGTTGTTAGATCAACTGTACGCAAGGTGGTCAGTTTTGTTGTTCCATATTGCTGGCTTGTGTCTGTGTTTTACTATGTGATATCTATGATGTGTTGTGTGTGTTACTCACCCAGGGGTGTAAAGGAGCGTACAGGGCTGGTGTCTCTGCTGCTCTCTCTGCTGGCCTCCCTGCTGCAGCCCTGACTCATACTGGGCCGAGGGATACGACTGCCCCGAGCTACAGTACCATGTTACCAGGGGCAGGGGAGGGGCGGAGGAGAGAAGGGGAAAGAAAGAAAGCAAGCAAGCAACAAACAAACAAATAAACAGAGAGAGTACAAAGGAGAGAGAGCGAGAGAGCGCGAGAGAGAGAGCGAGAGAGAGAGAGAATAGTCATAAGAGTGACACACTGATAGAGACAGGACTGAAAAAGAGCACAGCTCTTCTGGCTCCATAGGTGAGTCTCAATAGTCTACAGTGGTTTAGAAGCCACAGTAGACTGTTGAGACACAGCCCTAGAGAGTACAGGACTGCTGGGCTCAGAAATGACATATATATAAACAATGTCAGCACTCACTCACTCACTGACGCACACACACATACACAGCAGGAGGAGGAAATTAGAAGCAGATGAAAGACAAGGGGATGGGGGGAGGATCTCTGTTTTCATCCAATAAGCATCAAGCTCATCCTGACTGTTCATTGGCCAGAGCCGGCACCCACGCACCAATCAGAGTTAATCACAGCCTAAGGAAGTGTTATGGGGGAACCAATGAAGCTTCACCGATCCTATGACGCTTCATTCACACCTGTGGCCAATTGGTTAGTGGGAAGATACAAATTGTCACCATGATTACCATGGCAACCCATCACCATGACAACACGCATGACAACACACAGCCATGCTTTCGGCAGTTAGAGGAGGATTCTGGAATTTTGAGGCGGCGAGCGACAGCCTGACGGAAGGCTGAAATGGTTTGAGCGAGAGAGATGGAGAGTGAGATAGAGAGATGAAGATAGAGGGATAGAGAGAGTGAAATGGAGGGATGGAGAGGAGGAAGAGGAAGAGAAAGAGAAAGAGGGAGAGATTGAGAGATGCGGGCGGAGGTGGAGTTGTCAGAGGGACAGAGTCAGAGAGTTCTTACCTCCTCTGCTTGCTCCGTTGTAGATGGAACTAATACTGGAGGGAGCTAGAGACCAGATGAAAGAGGAAGGAGAAGGAAAGAGGGAGTAAAATAGAGTTGAGGTCAGCTTTAAATTAGTTCTCGCTTTATAATAATAATAATAATAATAATATGCCATTTAGCAGACGCTTTTATCCAAAGCGACTTACAGTCATGCGTGCATACATTATTATTTTTATTTTTTTGTGTATGGGTGGTCCCGGGGATCGAACCCACTACCTTGGCGTTACAAGCGCCATGCTCTACCAGCTGAGCTACAGAGGACCACGCTTTCAAAGTTGTTGGAGAAACGAATGGACTGATATGTGACATCACGCAACGATGCGGTGGCAAGGGCAACATGCGATTGGTGCGGATTGATCAAGTTGTTGGAGGCCAGTGGAGATGCAAGTAGACCGCCCTGTGTGTGTGTGTGTGTGTGTGAGACCTGTCAATCTCTGGGCCTTAGCCAATCAGACGTGAGCAGGAACAAACAGAAGCAGGCCAATGGAGGAGGGGTAAGAATTTATTGGTTTAGAAATAACAAACAAAGATACAAATCCATGCATCCTGTCGATGGAGGGAAAGGAGGAGGCTTGGGGAACTGCTTGGTGCGTGTGTCACCAAGAAGAAATCAGGCAGGTAAGACAAGGGCCTGGGATGGTTCACAATAATGATTACTGTATGTGTGTGTACTTACCAACAGACAGGCGTGTAGGGGAGGAGTCTCGTGAGCAGCCCTGGCTGCGGGGGATGCGGCTACGTCTCCCTCCTGTCCCAGCCCCTCCGGCCCCAGCTAGGACCCTCTGGGCTCCGGAACCAAGCGTACTCAGAGCTGTACTGGTCAGGACGCGGCCCGGGGAACCACTCCGACTGCCGGCTAGAGAGAGCGGGAGGGGAGAGAGTTAGAGACATACACACAGACCACACACTAGTCATGCGTGGGACCCTATTGTCTAAGGAATAATAACAACATCAACAACCTCTAGCCCCTACCCCTTCAGTGTCTGCAGCAGACCTGGGTTGAATACATATGTCAAACACTTAAAAGTATGAGGTGCGCTTGACCTAACTAGGAGTTTTTTCTTTTAGGAGTATTATTCCCATTAGTTCAATAGTAAATCAAGTGCAAATAAAGTCTTTGAAAGTATATGACTGTATTATTGACCCAGGTCTGGTTAGCAGATCAGAAGAAACTAGATATGTGTAGGAACATGGTGAATGGGCTCAATGGAACTGAAGCCATTTTGATTTCATGGTTAGGGGTTGTTTTCAACCGGACTCAGGGGACCAGCTTTGGCGGCCATCTTGGGACTGTCATCATTTCAGTGGGTCGTTTGCTTATTCCCAAATAATGACATGGAGTACAATATATGTTTTTCATTCTTCCAGTCTCCAATCACACAGCCCATAATGCATTGTGCTGAATGTCACAGATCTACACATGCCTTTGTGATCTTTTAACTCAAAGACAGAGACGTGAAGAAGTGCTGAAAGTGAAATGTGGACATAGAGGGTTATGTGACATGAGTGAGAAAAACACTTTACCACACAACTGAAACTTATCACATCAATCTATTTCACCACACATACGCAGAATACACAAACCTTACATACTACACACAGTCTAGGCTACACACAGTCTACACAGTCTTCTACACACACACACCACCATGATTGACCTCTAACTGCTAACACCAAGTGAGTTGGAGCTAACACTATGTGACTAAACAAGGGATAGATGGGACTACCCTACTGTACCTACAACCCCACCTCAGAGTGGTCTGGTCTGTCAGAGCATGCTGGTCACATGGCATTCTACATCCCATGCATCAGAATCATCAATGCATCTCTCTCCCTAATCTTCCGCATCTATCCCCTCATCCTCTCTGCTCCCTCCTACCGGTAGACACAGGCCTCAGCTCAGAGCGCAATTAGTCATAAGAAGGCAGGCAGCCATGTTTTAGTTTGAACTACAATTCCCAGCATGCTTCAGCCAGAGAGGGTGTGGAGCTTTAGGTGACCAGCTTTGTTGATGGGTGAGGAGGGTGATAAGAGGTGAGGTGTGAGAGAAGGGGTGATGAGGGTAACATGTAGTACGTTAGACTCTTACCACCAATGGGGGTAGCAGACTGAGATCCTGCACCAATGAGAAGGCAGGATTGGAGAGGGGAGCGGAGCGGGGACAGGAACAGGAAGTTAAACCAGATGGATTATGGGTGTTAGAGCACAAAGCACCATGGGAGTTAGAACACAGAGAGCATCATGGGAGCGTTCCGAGACAAGAGAATGAGAGCGACAATGGCCACGCTTCAAACACGGAAATACATTTATCAATTAAATGTAAATAAATATAGAATAAACTATGAATGCTGAGACACACGGAGCCAGCTGTGATGCTCGATGGAAGAACGGTAGAGCACTGCATGATGAGTAGCTGGTGTGTGATGCAGCAGTATCACTGACTAAGCAAAGCAGCTTTACAATGGAGGAAATAAAAACGCCTCAAAGTAAAAATGCTCTAAAAACACAGACACACTCTCTCACACACACACTGCCAAAACCTGCACTGCCCAACCACAGCTCTATATCCCAAATATATCTCACCAGCATTCTTAATTGTCTCTCTCTTAATCCTTAAGTCATTTGACGCACCAGTACGTCAATCTAAGCTAAGTAACATAAAAATCCTTTAGTTTATTCTAGAGATATCAGAATAATGCGTCTCAATCCGCTGCATCTGCCCGCCCATGTCGGCCTTCCGCATCTGCGGTGGAAGGTGGCCGATCTGCATCTGTGTTTGTCAGACCATGAGACATCGCAAAAATCGGTCTTCTCACAAAAACATCAGTAGCGTCATAACGGTTTTTCCCTACAAACTAACGTGGAAAGATGAGACCACTCTGTGGAAAGGGGAGACTCTCACGAACATGATGGTGTTCTCTGTTTTGCTCTACAACCCCCACAAGTTTCACGGGATTGTTCTGAAGGTAACTCAAACAAAACAATTTTGTGGCAACAAAAATAAGGGGTTAAATGTGTCCAAAAAAGCTAAAATATTTCCTGAGCTTTCTTATATCTACTAGATATAGGACAGACACTTCATAAATGTATTCCTTATGATTGATTTTTTGACTGTCTTTGCCATTTATGAATGTGTTATTCAATGCGTTACTATGGGCTATAGTAGAAAGACCAAATTCAATATTTTATCAAATTTAAATAAATAAAATAATTCCCCCCCCCAACGGCTTTGACTTTGAAGTTAATCTCTCGTTCCTAGAATCTGTTCTGTTTTTATTCTGCCAGGTTGAGCCTCAGAGAGATCCCATTTTTCACATTCAACCCATAATCTGGATTATGATTTGGGGGCTTCATCGTCACAGTTTATGTAATAACAAAACATAGGCAGGTTTTCCTAAGAGGTCAGACCAGTCGACACTCTTGATTTGAGAGTGCTGCACCAACTTTATTTGCTGAGTTGGCTCCTGTTTTTGTCATGTTTTGGTATTTCTTAATAACTATTGGCAGAACTGGACTCTTCACACCAACCAACACACCACTCTCAGTGATGAGACAACAGAGCATGCAGAGAACACACACACACTCTCATACCCACTCCCACATTCACAACAAACAACGGTGACCATGAGAGCAACATAATGGGTCCGTCTACCCCACTGCAACACACACACAGAATACCTGGCGTGCAATCTGATTCGTCGGAACCTAAGAGGTATAAAAAACATTTGCAGGAGCTTATTGTCACTGTGAGGGTTACCAGCAGTGACTACAGAAAGAGTACGTATAACTCATCTAGCAAACACACACACGCTCAAATACACATACATTCAGAGTAATACGGCAGTGGAACATTGTGTGTATGTGAGGGGTGTGGTATTTGAGGCTCAAAAACTGTGTGAACGTGTTGTGTGTGTATGTGTTTAAGGTGTGTGTGTATATATGTGTGTGTGTGTGTGTGTGTGTGCGCGCATGTGTGTTTCTTATTACGTTGTGACTGGGACACCATCTTGGTGCGGGTGCGTCCCCGGGAGTCCACCTGGCTGACGCTGGTTGCCGTGGTGAGAGGCTGCTTGGTCCTCAGACGTCCTGAGGTCAGAGGTCATACTGTTAGACTGGACACACACACTTTCTCTTGTTCTCACACTTTCTGAATAGAACAGAGCCCTCCACCACTAAGCAATAAGCACTAGTTTAGAGGTAAGAAGCACTACTGCTGAATACTACTTAGTCTATATACAGGTATATACCTAACTACAGGCTACACAGTAACTAGTCTTACAGTCTAGACCTACAGTAACTACTATTGTCTTACCATTGACTGACCTGGCCCCTAAAATCAGATACAGAGAGGGGGGAGGGATGTGTCAGGGGTCAAAGGTCATATAATGTGATGTAGGGTGTTTAAAGTGAGAGGGTTTTTTGAACGGCTCTTTAAATCCCATGTATTATTATTATGTAGCTACATGGACTAAACATGTGACTGTTAATAAACAAAATAACATTCAACATTAAATAAGAACTTCTTTCCTTATTTCATATGCTCTGGTCCCAGATATGAGATACTGTATGATTAATGGAATATGAGAATGTGAGTGTGTGAGAGAACAGACGAACAGCAGAGGGTGCCATGGTTACAGACTGGCTGGGGTTACAGAGTTGCTGTCCAGGGCCACCACCCAGAATACACAGGAAGGAGGGATGAAGGGAAGAATGAAAAAAACATGTAGAAAAAGAAAAGCATGAAGTGTTTTTGAGCGGATGAGAGTGAAGCAGGAGGAGATGATCTTACCATCCATTTTATCAGAGGCATCATCTTTAGTGGCAGAGAGAGAGAGAGAGAGAGGAGAGAACAGTAACGGTCAAGTGAGACGGAGAGAGGGTGGAGAAAAGAAGAGGAGGGAAAGAGAGTGGTATAGTGTCTGTGTTAGTAAGAGAACATGGTTCAAACAGAGAATCAAGAACTAAAACACCTAACAAATACACACTGACAGACCATGGCTACACAAACACACAGCCATACAACACACAGACAGGCAGCAAGCAGACACAGACAGACAAACAGCCCCTCAGACAGACAAACAGCCCCTCAGACAGACAAACCTAGGTTAGGAGAGAGATGCAGGCAATGTATTCAGAGAGATCGAGAGGAGTTCAGCCCAGGTCTTGAAAGCAGCAGGAAACCATCATAACATACAGCACCGTGACTGTGAGTGTGTGTGTGTGTGTGTCTATGTCGGTGATTGATTGATTAATTGATAGACTGCTTGACAGACAGCTGACTGATGTAGACAGATGTCTAAACTGCCTGTCTGGTTGGTTGGCTGTCTGGCTCGATTGACAGCTGCCTTACCCAATGACGAGTAGGAGCCGGGGGTCAGTCTCCCCGCCCCCACCTGCCCGATGTGCCGCTGCTTAGCAACTGTTGCTGCATTAACATCCACATCGCTACGGGAACGCTGCAGGGAGCCTGGCGACGCCCCACCCTTATGACCCGCTGGGACTGGGAAGGGGTGAGGGGGGGGAAGGAGGATATATATACACACACACACACACACACACACACACACACACACACACACACATGCAAACAATACATCACAATACTGTACAAACACCACCAACATCACCACCATGTATACAATCACTTGCTTGGACATAAACACACACATACATACATGTACAGACATACACACATGACTACACTGAACAAAAATATAAACGCAACATGTAAAGTGTTGGTCCCATGTTTCATGTGCTGAAATAAAAAATCCCAGAAATGTTCCATACGCACAAAATCTTATTTCTCTCAAACGTTTTGCACAAATCTGTTTACATCCCTGTTAGTGAGCATTTCTCCTTTGCCAAGATAAATCCATCCACCTGACAGGTGTGGCATATCAAGAAGCTGATTAAACAGCATGATCATTACACAGGTGCACCTTGTGCTGGGGACAATAAAAGGCCACTTTAAAATGTGAGGAGTATTGCTGTCTGTAATAAAGCCCTTTTGTGGGGAAAAACGAATTCTGATTGGCTGGGCCTGGCTGCCAAGTGGGCCTATGCCCTCCCAGGCCCACCTACGGCTGCACCTCTGCCCAGTCATGTGAAATGTATAGATTAGGGCCTGATTAATTTAAATAGACTGATTTCCTTATATGTACTCCTGAGTGGCGCAATGGTCTAAGGCACTGCATCGCAGTGCTAGCTGTGCCACTAGAGATCCTGGTTCCAGGCTCTGTCGTAGCCGGCCGCGACCGGGAGACCCATGGGGCGGCGCACAATTGGCCCAGTGTTGTCCAGGGTAGGGGAGGGAATGGCCGGCAGGGATGTAGCTCAGTTGGTAAAGCATGGCGTTTGCAACGCCAGGGTTGTGGGTTCGATTCCCACGGGGGGGCAGTATGAAAAATAAAATAATGTATGCACTCGCTAACTAAGTCGCTCTGGATAAGAGCGTCTGCTAAATGACTAAAAATGTAAAAAATGTAAAAATGAACTATAGCTCAGTAACATCTTAGAGCATGTTGCGGTTAGATTTTTGTTCAGTATAAATGTGTGAATAGTCAAACATAAACAAATAACGTACACACCACTTGAACAAGATCAGGAATGATATTTGTGTGTGTTTGTGTTTCACCTCTTCCAGGAGCAGCTGACCATTTAGACGACAGAGGACGACTGGGAGAGGTAGAGAGATAGAGGTAGAGAGAGAGAGGTAGAGAGGTAGAGGTAGAGAGGTAGAGAGAGAGAGAGAGAGAGAGAGAGAGAGAGAGAGAGAGAGAGGGAGAGAGAGAGAGAGAGAGAGAGAGAGAGAGGAGAGAGGTAGAGGTAGAGAGGTTAGAGAGGTAGAGAGGTAGAGGTAGAGAGTAGAGAGGTAGAAGGTAGAGAGAGAGGTAGAGTAGAGAGAGAGAGGGTAGAGGGAGAAGAGAGGTGTAGAGGGAGAGAGAGAGGTGTAGAGGGAGAGAGAGAGTAGAGGTAGAGTAGAGGTAGGCGGTAAGAGTGAGGTAGAGGAGAGAGAGGTAGAGGTAAGAGAGAGAGGTAGAGGTAGGGGGTAGAGGTAGAGGAGAGGTGAGGTAGAGGAGAGGTCGGGTAGCGAGTGCGGCAGCAGGAGGTCGAGGAGCAGGTTTAGCGACGGAGCGGTAGAGCGGTCGCGTAGGTAGCGAGAGGACGCGATGGGGGAGACGAGCGCTCTAGCGGGACAGCGCTCGAGGTACGGTAGAGAGATAGAGGTAGAGAGAGAGAAAGAGCACAATATTACTTTTTGGGTAGTTCTGAGCCCCTCCCCCCAAAAAACATATTAGGTTAAACACTGCATGGTTAAAGGTCAGGGGGGTCAGGGGTCATTACTTGAGGCTCTCCTGTGAAGAGGAAGAGGAGCGGTCGCTCTGAGGAAGCGACGCCACGCTCCCGGCATTCCTGAGTGACGACTGGAGGCTCCTCTGATAGGAAGGTTCTAACGAGTTGAACAGAGTGTCCGCCTCTCCCGGAAAATGGTTCCTCAGACCCCAGTATGCCCTGAGAGAGGGAGGGAGAGAGAGAGAGAAGGTGTGAGAGAAGATAGAGAAGGTGTGAGTATGTGTGTAGGCAAATGTGTGTGTGTGTCTTACTTGCGGGCCTCTACTCTGGCCTCTGCGTCGGCATCTGCGATCCCCTTCTTAATGCTCGCTACCATCACTGCTGTATGTCTGAGAGAGAGACAGACAGACAGACAGACAGAGAGAAGTTGAACATGTGTACAACATTCAACCAAGATTCCATTAGCTTTTGAACGGCCCTATATTTATTTGTCCGGCTGTGTGTTCAACTCTCACCTCTCCAGAGTCTGGGTCTGCCACTCCTGCAGCAGCAGGTCCAAGAAGTCAAAACATTTCCTGAGGGAGGAAGAAACAATCTTCATCATCATTACTACAATCCTCTTCATTTTCTACAGACAATCACAGACTACAAAAGGAAAACCAACAACGTCGCCGACACCGATGTCTTGCTTCCGGACAAGCTAAACACTTTCTTCGCCAGCTTTGAGGATAACACAGTGCCACCGCGCGGCCCACTACCAAGGGCTGTGCGCTCCGCGACGTGAGTAAAACATTTAAACGTGTTAACCCTCGCAAGGCTGCCGGCCTAGACGGCATCCTTAGCCGCATCCTCAGAGCATGCGCAGACCAGCTGGCTGGTGTGTTTACGGACATATTAAATCTCTCCCTATCCCAGTCTGCTGTCCCCACATGCTTCAAGATGGCCACTATTGTTCCTGTACCCAAGAAAGCAAAGGTAACTGAACTAAATGACTATCGCCCCGTAGCACTCACCTCTGTCATCATTAAGTACTTTGAGAGACTAGTCAAGGATCATATCACCTCTACCTTACCTGTCACCCTAGACCCACTTCAATCTGCTTACCGCCCCAATAGATCCACAGACGATGCAATCGCTATCACACTGCCCTATCCCATCTGGACAAGAGGAATACCTATGTAAGAATGCTGTTCATTGACTATAGCTAAGCATTCAACGCCATAGTACCCTTCAAGCTCATCATTAAGCTCGAGGCCCTGGGTCTGAACCCCGCCCTGTGCAACTGGGTCCTGGACTTCCTGACGGGCCGCCCCCCAGGTGGTGAAGGTAGGAAACAACACCTCCACTTCGCTGATCCTCAACACTGGGGTCCCACAAGCGTGCATGCTCAGCCCACTCCTTTACTCCCACCCAAGCACGCCTTCAACTCAATCATCAAGTTTGCAGACGACACAACAGTGGTAGGCATGATTACCAACAATGACGAGACAGCCTACAGGGAGGAGGTGAGGGCTCTGGGAGTGTGGTGCCAGGAAAATAACCTCTCACTCAACATCAACAAAACAAAGGAGATGATCGTGGACTTCAGGAAACAGCAGAGGGTGCACCCCCCTATCCACATCGACAGGACCGCAGTGGAGAAGGTGGAAAGCTTGAAGTTCCTTGGCATACACATCACTGACAAACTGAAATGGTCCACCCACACAGACAGTGTGGTGAAGAAGGCGCAACAGAGCCTCTCTTCAACCTCAGGGAGGCTGAAGAAATTTGGCTTGGCACCTAAAACCCTCAAACTTTTACAGATGCACAATTGAGAGCATCCTATCGGGCTGTATCACCGCCTGGTACGGCAACTGCACCGCCCGCAACCGCAGGGCTCTCCAGAGGGTGGTGCGGTCTGCCCCACGCATTACCGGGGGCAAATTACCCGCCCTCCAGGACATCTACAGCACCCGATGTCACAGGAAGGCCAAAAAGATCATCAAGGACATCAACCACCCAAGCCACTGCCTGTTCACCCCGCTATCATCCAGAATGCGAGGTCAGTACAGTTGCATCAAAGCTGGGAACGAGAGACTGAAAAACAGCTTCTATCTCAAGGCCATCAGATTGTTAAATAGCCATCACTAGCACATTAGAGGCTGCTGCCTATAGACACTAAGAAATTGAACACTAGTCACTTTCATAATGTTTACATATCTTGCATTCCCACGGGGGGCCAGTATGAAAAATGTATGCACTCACTAACTGTAAGTCGCTCTGGATAAGAGTGTCTGCTAAATGACTAAAATGTAAATGTAAAATCTCATATGTATATACTGTATTCTATAATATTCTCCTGTATCTTAGTCCATGCCGCTCTGTCATTGCTCATCCATATATGTATATATTCTTAATTCCATTCCTTACTTAGATTGTGTGTATTGGGTATATGTTGTGAAATTGTTAGATATTACTGCACTGTCAAGCTAGAAGCACAAGCATTTCGCTACACCCGCTATAACATCTGCTAAACAGGTATGTGACAAATAAAATTTGATTTGACAATCATCATCAATTATTATTTTTATCATCATATGCTTCATGCGCACCTTCTGACGGCCACAGACTTGCAGGTGCAGTTACTGGTGATCAGGGGAATGAGCCTGGGAACGTGCGTGTGCTGCAGAGAGAAAGAAATACAAACTCAGTCATTTTATTATCTGTGTTACGTGTGTGCGTGTAAGGTGTGTGTGTGTGTATGTGTGTTTGTGCATGCTAGATGTGTGTCTGTGTTACATCAACACGTGTGTGTGTGTGTGTGTGTGCGCGTTAGGTGTGTGTGTGCGTCTAACTCACCCGTATGATAAAGCGTATAGCAGACACCCCTGACGTAGCCATAACCTTGGCACAGTTAGGGATGAGGTTGAACAAAATAGGAAGAATGCCCTCGGCTCCATGGTCAAACTTATTACCCAACACTGTCGACAGGTGGCTGGAGAGAGAGAAAGAAAGAGGGAGAAAGGGGGAAAAAGACAGGAAGTGAGAAAGTGTTACTTCCATTTTCAAATCCATTTTTAGAGAAGAAATGTAAAAAGAAAAAATGTAAAAAGGAGATGTGGAAAAAAGTGTGTGTGTGTGCATTTGCGTGTCAGTGTGTGTGTGTGTAGTGTGTGTGTGTAGTACTCACGCCACAGTGATGCAGGCCTCTCGTACCACCTGTGATCGGAGGTCTTTAGCTGACAGTTTGAACGCTCCGTCCAACAGCCTCAGGTGTTGGAAGAAACACTCATACTCAGTTGCCCCGGCAACAATCAGTGAGCGGATCTTCTTCATTGCGGCGGCTCTCTGGTCCCAGTCATGTTTGTCATCAGAACAGATCTCTCTGATCTTATTCAGGTTATCCTCCAGGTCACGAGATGAGTAGATCTGACAGAGAGACGGAGACAGAGAGAGAAAGGGGGACAGAGAGAAAGAGAGAGTGGGAGAGAGAGACAGAAAGATAATTAGTTCACACTAGTGTTATCTACATCGCTTGCAGTCCTGCTACTAATGCATACTAGCGTGTTTGTGTGTGTGCGTGTGCATGCTACCTGTACTGTGGGGACATCAGTGAAGGCTTTGATGAAGTCTTCCTCATCGATGCCTCCGGCTCCATCCTTAGACGCACCTAGAGACAGAGAGGACGGAGAGTTCAGAGTGCGTGTGTATCCCAGTCTGAGTGACAGTAAGTTGCCTCAGCCTAGCACTATACATTGAGTGTACAAAACATTATGAACAAAAGGTATGATCCCTTATTGATGCCACTTGTTAAATCCACTTCAAACAGTGTAAATGATGGGGAGGAGACAGGGTAAAGAAGGATTTTTAAGCCTTGAGACACGGATTGTGTATGTGTGCCATTCAGAGGGTGAATGGGCAAGACAAAATATTTAAGTGCCTTTGAACGGGGTATGGTAGTAGGTGCCAGGCGCACCGGTTTGTGTCAAGAACTGCAACGTTGGGGCCTCCAGAGTGGCGCAGCGGTCTAAGACACTGCAATGCAGTGCTAGAGGCATCACTACAGACCCGGGTTCGATCCCGGGCTGTTTCACAACCTTGCCGTGATCGGGAGTCCCATAGGGCGGCGCACAATTGGCCCAGCGTCGTCCGGGTTAGGGGAGGGTTTGGCTGGGGGGGGGCTTTACTTGGCTCATCACGCTCTAGCGACTCCTTGTGGCGGGCCTGGCGCCTGCAGGCTGACCTCGGTCGTCTGTTGAACAGTGTTTCCTCCGACACATTAGTGCGGCTGGCTTCCGGGTTAAGTGGGCGGGTGTTAAGAAGCGCGGTTTGGCGGGTCATGTTTCGGAGGACACATGACTCTACCTTCACTTCCTGAGCCCGCTGGGGAGTTGCAGCGATGAGACAAGATCGAAATTTGGGAGAAAAATTATTATAATAAAGAACTGCAACGCTGCTGGGTTTTTCACGCTCAACAGTTTCCTGTGTGTATTAAGAATGGTCCACCACCCAAAGGACATCCAGCCACTTGACACAACTGTGGGAAGCATTGGAGTCAACATGGACCAGCATCCCTGTGGAACGCTTTTGACATCTTGTAGAGTCCATGTCCTGACGAATTGAGGCTGTTCTGAGGGCAAAAGGGGGAGTGCAACTCAATATTAGCAAGGTGTTCTTAATGTTTTGTACACTCAGTTTATAACCTGATTCAACTATACCATTGAAGCGCTACAGTATGCACAGAATATTCCCCCTCTCTCTCCCCTCCTTACGTGCATTAACGGAGTCCCTAATGGACTTTCTGTTAGTAATGGGCCTGTCAATCAAAACTTCCTGAGGGGTGGCACTAAGTAGCAGGCCACGCCCCTTTAGAGGAGTAGGATATGGAGGGTGAATGCAGTGGAAAAGGGAGAAGGAAGAGACAGGATAGATGGCGAGAGGGGAGAGAGAGAAAAGGGGAGGAGATGGAGGATGAATTAATGCAGTGAAAATCCAAATCCCAGCGGCTAGTTTCCATTTCCGACTGCAGTAGATGGGCAGTTCTGCTACAATACAATCCATACCGTTTTCACAGGCTAGCTGCAACAGGCTAGCTGCAGCGTGGAGATGGCTGCTGGCTGTGCTATGCTATGTGAGTGCCAAAACCAGGGTTTGCTAACTCTGAGAACTATGGTCCTGGAGAGCTACTGGGTAGTGCAGGCTTTTGCTCCAGCCCTGCTCGAACACCTAGCTGCTAGCCTACCCAGCTATGGTGTGTAAAACGGACGCTGGGTGTGCTGGATGATCCTATATCAGCAGATTGTATGTTGCATAGATATACATGTTCCATGGTGTCTCAGAGATACAAGGCTCTGTGGTCTCTGTAATACCACGGCTCTCTGTTCTTTCAGCTCGCTCCATTTCTTTTCCCTCTCTCTCCCCCCCGTTTCTTTTTCTGTTCTCTCCTCTCTCCGATTCTTTTCTCTCTTGGTTTCTTTCTTCTATCTCAGTCTTGTCTCTCTGTGTTCTCTCCTCTCTTCTGTTCTATCCTCTCTGTGTGTCTGTGTGAGCGGAGTGCGTGGGTGGAATGTAATATAAATGCTAATTTAGCCACACAGGGAACTAGCCTAGCACGCTAACATGCTAGCAGCACCAGAAGTTACACTAACATGTTCCACATATTCCAGAACCCTCAGTCACACACGTCGCTCATATTTCCTGTTTGTCTCCTGATGTCTGAACCATCTACCTGAATGAACACAGACAGGGTTGCTGTTACAGACAGAGCGCGAGAGGACAAGGGCAGAGTTGCTGTAACATCAGCCTGAACTGTTACAGACATATACCAGATAGATCAGCCCTGGCCTACATCGCACGCCTGGACGTGGGAACGCTGCTACCTTCCTCCCTTACAGAGAGAGAGGAGGAGGAGAGAGGGGAAACATAGAACGCAGACTAGGATGAAAGAGAGAAAACAGAAAATAGAGAGATGGAGTGATCTACAGGGGATATCATCATCACTATCATAGATGTCATCTCTTTCAAAGGCATAACTAATCAAGCCTGAGAGATCAAGCCTGATGACATATAGAACTTCCTGTGACGCAGCAATAATATAAAAGACATAGAACTTATCGAGCACAGATAAAAACAGCAAAGATCAGTGAGGATAGAGGAAAAGCTCCTGTGAAGAAGCCAGAAAATCTCCCCTCCCTCTGTCAGTCTGTTCGGCTTACTCATCTAACCGACCTGCTTAGAAAGCTAGTTCATCTCTCTCCGTCTGCATCATTGTTTATCTGACCATTATAAACTGGGTGGTTTGAGCCCTGAATGCTGATTGGCTGACAGCCGTTGTATATCAGACCGTATACCACAGGTATGACAAAACATTTATTTTTACTGCTTTAATTACTTTGGTAACCAGTTTATAATAGTAATAAGGCACCTCAGGGGTTTGTGGTATATGGCCAATATACCACGGCTAAGGGCTGTATCCAGGCACTCAGTGTTGCATTGTGCTTAAGAACAGCCCTTAGCTGTGGTATATTGGTCATATACCACACCCCCTCTGGCCTTATTGCTTAATTAGCCAGCCCAACTCAATGGCCTTGTGGTTAGTGTCCGCCCTGAGATCAGAAGGTTAGGAGTTCCATCCGGCTGATTCATACCAAAGACTATAAAAATGAGACCCGATGAGTCTCTGCTTGGCACTCAGCATTAAGGAGATAGATTGCGGGTAAAGCCTTGTGATAGACTAGCCTAGCGTCCTGTCCAGGGGGTGTACTTGTACACCCCCTGGCCCCTGCTCCTATATGAGCCAAGGCTCGTGCAAGGCTACTTACCCAGCCCAGGAGAAAGGGATATAATGTGATGAATAACAGCAGTCGCGTTTTGGCCATCAAGACAATGACACTAATGATATGAAATCAATCGAAGGAACTTTATTTGCAAATGTGTCTTTTTTTATTCAAGTGTGATTCCTCCTGGGTCACACAACGCCCAATGAATTATCAATATATCCTAAGAGGTGAGCAGGCCAGATTGGTCTTGAATAGGAGCTCGACTCTTACCGCCGATCTTGGATCCTGTAGCGCTGGGTCTGCGTGCAGTAGAAGACTCCGCCAGCTTTTTGGGGATTTTGGGGACTTTGAAGGCAGCCTGAGCACGGTTCCCATCCGTACTGTCCGCATCATCCTCAAAACTATGGTCTGAGAGAGAGAGAGAGAGAGAGAGTGCGAGAGAGAGAAGAGAGAGAGAGAGAGAGAGAGAGAGAGAGAGAGAGAGAGAGAGAGAATATAGAAGAGAATAGCTCTAGCGAGATCGATGCTCAGTCGCTATAGAGCTCTCGTATGAGAGTCATCGCGATACGAGGAGCTAGATCGCTTGCGAGGACAGAGAGAAGAGATAATTCCATAATACTGTAGTAACATTGTTATTAACATCGTTATCATACATATCTTTGACATTTTATTATTTCACCCTTCTGTCATTAAAGTAGTTAGAGAAAAGAGAGAAGAGGAGGAGAGGTCTTCGCTGAAGAAAAGAGCAAGGTCAGCGCTGATCAGTGATCAATAGTAACGACAGACACAAAAAGAGGCCACTGGCTGCAGGGAAAGCAGCTAATGCAGGCAATCTCTCTCCAACACACACACACTGACCGCCTACACAACAATCACTAACAGAAAATGCCTTCTAGCTGATAGACCCTGAGATCATGATGGCATACAACAGATAAATTCACACCAAAACACACTGCACACACACACCAGCAATCCACAGCATGGGAAATACACCTCCATCTGCCTCAAAGCATGCATCAACCTGTGTATTATTAGAGCCACCCCACCCCCCCAACACACACCTCCAGCCGCACGGCAGAGATGAAAGCGCTGGCAGAGAAACGCAGACACACACAGTTGCTTTGACAACCACCGCACAGCGCTGAGAAATGCGCCAAAGCCACCACCCTACACCCCAACATACAGACGCACACAATATCACAAAGACGGACACATATACACACAATCACATCAACAGACTACATGCAGATTATGCACACACCAACAAACACAACCAACCCAGCCCTTATTCACACAAAGATACACCAGCTAAAACCAGCTCTAATTTATACTCCTGCAGAAACACACACTCACACGGTGGGCCCAGCCCTGCACTCACAGTCACAGATGCGTTTGCAGATGAGGCGCCTCATGCCTCCAGGAGGGCGTGGTTTTGGGGCGCCCCCCTCTTCTCAGACCCGTACCCCAACACACACAACCCTCAAAACGGGGCTAGACACACACACACACCTTACTGCCACCCGAAAAACCCTCCACCCATACCACTGCCGGCATTTTCTCTGTCCTACCTCTCTCATTCGCTCGATCTCTCTTCTCCCCTCCTTCCCTCCACAGCCAGGCAGCCAATCAGTGCAGAGATGACATCATGGTGAAGCAGCCAGTGCGGAGGAAGGAGAGTGTGTGTGTGTGCGCGTGCGTGACGCCCCCAGAACATTAACATGGTTTCTCTAGCCTCCCTCACAGCAGCTAAATTCATTACCATCGACACACACACCCAAACACACCGCGGCATTGACAGCTTAACACACATTCTACAGTGTCTTATCATATTTCACATATTCTGATATCCATAGAACACACACATACAGATAGAGAGAGAACAAAGGCTGAGTGGGCCGTGGTGGCTGTGGAGGTGTAGAGATGGACAGATCAGGGGGAGAGGAAGGCAGAGGGGAGGAGTGGGAGGATGTGGGGACCACATCCCTCCAGCTGAGACCTGCTCTTTGAGTGTGTGTGCAGAGATGCTCCACACACACACACACACACACACACACACCTCAATCACAGTTCCATTTCAGGTCGGAGTGTGTTAGGGTGTTGGGGTCAGAGGTCAGGGTTCAGTAACCTAACACTTAATGAGAGAAGCTGCAGAGACACTGCAACAACCCTTATTATACCCCTTTGACAACTATATTAACCCTTTTCTATAACCCTTTCTTTAAAAAAGTATTAATCTCCAAAATTGTTTGAGTAATGGATTCTGGATGAAATATCCCAGCCAGGAGTCCTTGTAAATAAATCAGCTATTGAATTTAGAGTGCTATCCTTTTGATTTTCTACGTAAGTGGTTACAACCAGTCAACTGGTGTTTAATGAGTAGATTGGGAGACAGACTCGAAGTTAATACATCACATTAAGTTTCTGCCTGATGTATTGCAAAAGGAAATAGCAAAATGGCATTAGACTGGGAAAGATGGGTTGATCTGTGGACATCGGAGGGTTGGAGTTAAAATCAGAATGAATGGTGGATTGGCCGCTGTGGTTGAAAATCCAATTAGGAATGTATAAATATTTAACTACAGGTACCATAGATGTGAGCGAAATATCTGTAAGAAGAAGTATTGTTGTCCATTAGTTTACTCCAATTAGTGTAGGGATGGTAGGGTAGGGGGGGGGTAAGTACAGAGAAAAAAATTAAAATAAAGAACTAAATAAGGGGGATTAGAAATTATGCAAACAATTACAGTGATACAACCTACAATATCAAAGTTGATCTACTCCCCCAATTGTTTTTGGTAGATTCAAATAAATCTGCCTGAGTAGTGCTTTACCAGTGACACAAACATGATCATATTAAGCTTTTGTCCAGTCAGCCCCCTTAGGAGGGCGAATCTCTGTCAAGGACGGAGCAAAGACGAGAGGGAGAGATGGGGAAAGGGTGCGAGATGGAGAGGAGAGAGAAAGATTCGTAGAGAGTGAGAAAATGGAGGAATAGAGAGAAAGGGAGGGATAGAGAAGAGATAGAGAGAAAAATAAAAGAGGGAGGGATCATTCATGGTGAGCAGACTGTTCATGCTGTTGCCATGACAACCTGGAGAGACGTATCCTCAGGGGAGAAGAGCAGTGAGACACAACCATCACTAACAATGCGTAGGGCTCTGTAAAGCTCTGTATTGACATGATTGGGTGACGGTAGGTGGGGGCGGGAGGTCCTGTATAAACACCAACTCACTTCCTTCACAACAGCTCTGCTCAACAGCTACGTGAAGCACAAGAAGTGTGAATACCCTGTGCAGACTTCGGATTGACCATACAGCGCCTTTAACCAATTTTGTTTTTGAAAACACAAAGACAGAAATTAGGGGATTTTCTCGTGTGAATCAGCTATTATGAGAGTTTCGGCTGGCTATCGTCCAATTTAACAGCTTTAATCAAGGCGTGAACTGTGACCAATGTCAAGGTGAACCGAGGACCAAACGAACCCGCCACGGTTGTTGCCTCTACCTGTTGGAGGTGGAGTTCCAGAGCTCACAGGTGTGCCTGGCATGGAATGTGACTCCATCATCTCGCCCTCTTCAACGCGTGACTATCCGCAAATGTGGCCTAGCACTCCACCAATGCGGCCTGGCTCTGGAGAGAATAAATCTATTGCTAGTCTTTACGGTTTGCTGCACATTTTTACATTGTATTCTATTTCCAGTGAGACTACTCAAGCCATCGACTCACTGATGTGAGATGATGATGAGCGATCGGCAAAGGCCATCAGGAATCTGCTGGCATCACGGCACAACATCGCTCTAATCACAGTCAGAAGACAGTTGAAGAAACTTGAGTGGATTTATTCTATTTTATTCTGTTATAATTTATCTGTGCTTAGTAGCCGAGGCTATTTAGCAGACATCACTCTCGTATATTCTGTCAACACACAAACGGTATATTTTACAGTAAGAATATCATGGAATATAACAGAACATTTCCGTTTCTCTTACAATAAAAATATTACAGTGTAACAACAGTTAAAGGCGCTGCATGGTCAATCTGACGTCTGCATTGGCCGTGCAGCATTTACTGCATTACGGCCTCTGCAGAAGTCAGGGCATTCATACTTATTGCGCTTCGCGTAGCAGAGCAGAGCTGTTGTGAAGGAAGTTATCAAGGAACTGAGTTTGTGTTTATACAGGACCTCCCGCCCCCACCTACCATCAACCAATCATGTCAATGCGGAGCTATACGGAGCCCTCCACATTGTTAAAAAATGTGGGATGCGTACAGCGATGCGGTACGGAGATCAATTTAGCCTCTGCATGCCTCCGGAGGCTCCGCAATTGCGTCACACCCTCCATACGGAGCCTCCTACCACAGTTTTCAGATCAAGCATGAATTGGCTTTTATGGTACATAATAGGCTACAGTCCAGTTACAGCTTCTTCTGACAAAGTATGTATTTTTTCAGGTGTGGTTGTGCATGCGGGACAGAGGAAGAGCAATTCTTACACTAATGCTCTAAATTCAATCCCCCTCTTCTTCTTCATCCTCATCATTCAGTTCATTCAAATTCAATCGTGAATTATCAGCACAACTATCAGTTTCTATCTGGTTATATCGTCCATTCATTGATGTCACTCATTCAGTGAGGAGAGAGAGGCACATTAGCGTCTGGGTACCAACAATTTACAACGAATCCAAAAGCATAATCAGCGTTCTAACTCCCCCTTGCGGTGGTCTGGTGCAATGACCCAGTGACGCAAGGTACTATACCACAACGTGCTGTGGTATAACCTTTAAACTTTTAATTGAGGAACCACTGCACACGTGGGTCTGTCTATCTATTAGTGCTTTCTCCATCCTCTCTGGGTAGATTTCGAGTCACGCTACAGTAGCTATGGTGGAATCTCCCTCTAGCATGCTTACACCAATCCAATGCTTTTAAAGTGAGGGGATGGGCAGACTTCAGAGAATCAGCTCTGGGCAGAGGGGAATGGGAATAGTGGTTTGGCGTCAATATGTAAACCTTAAAAGACATGGTCCGATACTTTGGCGACTAAGTAAGTATTTTTTTAAACCTCCCGCTTTGGGCTGGATGTGTCAATGTGTATTTCATTCATGCATAATCTATGAGCAGAATTATTATCTTAACTCAATTAGCCATGAAATCCCTAGTTTGAAAGTGACTGTTTTTCTTGAAGCTGTGCCACACCATTTTCCCTACATTTCCCCCCCACATGGGCCAGCCCCCTAGCAATTTGAGTTCTAGCCAATGAGCTTCCTCCCCTCGCATTTGAGTGACAGCTAGAAGAGGCCTGCCCAGCGTTATCCAATGAGGTTGCAGGGCAGGCCCAATGGCTCAGTGGACACAGCAGAGAGAGCTAGCAATGACATGATACACATACACTAAATGGCCAGAAGTATGTGGACACCCCTTCAAATGAGTGAATTCAGCTATTTCAGCCACACCCGTTGCTGACAGGTGTATAAAATCAAGGACACCGCCATGCAATCTCCATAGACAAACAGTGGCAGTAGAATGGTCTTACTGAAGAGCTCAGTGACTTTCAACGTGGCACCGTCATAGGATGCCACCTTTCCAACAAGTCAGTTCATCAAATTTCTGCCCTGCTAGAGCTGCCCCGGTCAACTGTAAGTGCTGTTATTGTGAAGTGGAAACTTCTAGGAGCAACAACGGCTCAGCCACGAAGTGGTAGGCCACAAAAGCTCACAGAATGGGACCGCCGAGTGCTGATGTGCCTGTCCTCGGTTGCAACACTCACTACCGAGTTCCAAACTGCCTCTGGAAGCAACGTCAGCACAATAACTTTTTGTCGGGAGCTTCATGAAATGGATTTCCATGGCCGAGCAGCCGCACACAAGCCTAAGATCACCATACGCAATGCCAAGCGTCGGCTGGAGTGGTGTAAAGCTCGCCACCATTGGACACTGGAGCAGTGGAAACGCGTTCTCTGGAGTGATGAATCACGTTTTACCATATATCAGTCCGAAGGACGAATCTGGGTTTGGCGGATGCCAGGAGAACACTACCTGCCCGAATGCATTGTGCCAACTGTAAAGATTGGTGGAGGAGGAATAATGGTCTGGGGCTGTTTTGCATGGTTCGGGCTAGGCCCCTTAGTTCCAGTGAAGGGAAATCTTAACGCTACAGCATAGAATTACATTCTAGACGATTCTGTGCTTCCAACTTTGTGGCAACAGTTTGGGGAAGGCCATTTCCTGTTTCAGCATGACAATGCCCCCGTGCACAAAGCGAGGTCCATGCAGAAGTGGTTTGTCGAGATCGGTGTGGAAGAACTTGACTGGTTTATCTGAACATAGGTGACGTAGTATGCAATTTCAGGGGACCACTTTTGGCTCGGGAGTGCTACTTTCAGAACTACTGGCTAAAAAGTATACAAAAGTACCGGAGAATCTCTTTAATGTGAGAAATCGAGGATGTGAGGTCAGTAGGCTACATCAGAATTAATCACATCTCTGTCACATCAACAAAACCACCCATAGCACGCAACATGTGGGCGCACACGCACGCACACTCCACTGACGCACACTCCACTGTGCACTGAGGAGTGTTGCCATGGATACGGCTGTAAGGTATGCCCTCCATTTCAGAGTCAAATAGACAGAAGGAAAGACAGGCAGAGAAAGAAAGAGGCCAAGAGACAGGAAAGTAGAGAATGAAATGACAAAAAGGATGATATAGAGCAGGGGTGGGAAAACTACGACCAACAGGCCGTATCCAGCCCGCGAAATAAATAAATAAATAAAACACTCCAGGCCACAATTGAACATCTACAACTTCATAAGAAGTATGTAGAAATGATCATTTTGACCTATATATTTTCAAGTAACTGACCCTTTTCTGGCATGCAAATTAATTTAGACGAGGCAAAACCTTTGCCCACCCCTGATATACACTGAGTGTAAAAAACATTAGGAACACCATCCTAATATTGAGTTGCACCCCCTTTTACCCTCAGAACAGCCTGAATTCGTCGGCGCATGGACTACAAAATGTCGAAAGTATTCCACAGGGATGCTGGCTCATGTTGATTCCAATACTTCCCACAGTTGTGTCAAGTTGGCTGGATGTCCTTCGGGTGGTGGACCATTCTTGATACACACAGGAAACTGTTAAGCGTGAAAACCCCAGCAGCGTTGCAGTTTACATTTTAGTCATTTAGCAGCCGCTCTTATCCAGAGCAACTTATAGTAGAGTGGATAAATTTTTCGTAATTTTCCTCCGTGGGAATCGAACCCACAACCCTGGCATTGCAAGTGCCATGCTCTACCAACTGAGGCAACTGACACTCAAACCGGTGCGCCTGGCACCTACTACCATACCCCGTTAAAATATTTTGTCTTGCCCATTCACCCTCTGAATGGTACACATACACAATCCATGTCTCAAAAAAAGTATTCTTTAACCTGTCTCCTCCCCTTCATCTACACTGACTGAAGTGGATTTAACAGGTGACATCAATAAGGGATCATAGCTTTCACCTGGATTCACCTGGTCAGTCTATGTCATGGAAAGGTGTTCCTAATGTTTTGTACACTCAGTGTAGAATGTGACTGAGGTGATATGCTCAGTTATAATCCACCTATCTACTGGCTGCTCAGGCAGAACTAAAACCATTTTAAGAGAAAACCTACACACTCCCCAGTCCCCAATCCGAAAAAACATTTGGGTTTCAGATCCACAAACCAAACACGCGCTCTCCAATCCCCAATACATGTGAGAATTATCCCAGAGTTATTCCAATGCAGGGTAGAGGCGGAAACATAATCCACATTCTGAGAACGTCACACACATAGCCAAAAAATACATCCATAACAAAACCACCCAGCAAGCAAAACAAATTTGGTGGAGCACTGTAAATATTTTTTTAAACAATAACTACATGCGAGCACACACACACTTTCTATCCTCGTGGGGACCTAAAATGTATTTCATTTCAAAATCTTATTTTCACTAACCCCTAACCCGTAACTCTAACCCAAACCCTAATTGTAACCCTAAAGCTTAAAATAGCCTTTGTCCTCATGGGGATGTGGGAAATGTAGTCACGAGGGAGAATTTTCCTTGTTTTACTATCCTTATGTACCTAAAATCCTTGCGCGTGTGGGGGGATTTTAGGTACACACTAGAATAGAAGAACAAGACCACACACACGCATCTCACAGACACAGATACACACAAAACACAGGCATTTTTACAATGCGCTGCAAAAATGTGTTTGTGTCCACAGGGGGCAGCACTAGCCTTTATCTGTGAAACAACAAAAACAAGAAGACTCTTGGAAGGAAGACTCATGTGACTCATATTTGTCCTATTTCACTCATGTACTAATTGTATTAATACACACTTGTGAATTGGAAATGTGTTTTTCATATCCAACTCTCCCTGAGACACCCTCGGAGAGTGGGGTCACGGCCAGGCTCAGCCATCAACGGATACCCTGGAGGGTTAAGTGCCTTGCTCAAGGGCACAGACAGATTTTTCACTATGTTGGCTCGGGGATTCGAACTAGCGACCTTTCGTTTACTTGCCCAACACTCTAACCGCTAGGCTATGTGCCGTGTGTGTTTACTGTGCCCGTGTGTGTGTCAGGTAGACTAGCGGTTAAGAGCGTTGGGGCAGTAACCGAAAGGCCGCTGGTTTGAATCCCAGAGCCGACTAAGTAAAACAATAAAAAATAAGGTTGATATGCCCTTGAGCAAGGCACTTAACCCTAACTGCTCCAATAAGTCACTCAGGATAAGAGCATCTGCTAAGTGACTAAAA